GTAAGTTCTTTTCCCAGTGTTTATGGCAGCCTCACTCATCCACTGGAATTCATGCACCCCTCCTTATATCTACTTATAGTGTTGTATTTAAAAAGAAAAATGCCCTTTTTAAACTTTAATGAAGGCTTTGTTTCTGGAATGTCCACTTAGTCCAGCAGAAGAGGAGAAAGTTGTGTTGTTTTCTGCTTTCCCCCACTAAAAGCAAGACCCTGGATGTGAAAGTTCATGGTATTTTCCAAGCTGCTGCCAGCAGTGAGTGGCTGACTCCCTTCAGGCTGCTGATGCTGCCCTTGGTGCAGCTCCCTGCTCATTCTGGGGTTGCAGTGGCGCTGCTGCACGGAGAGCTGTGCAGGGGCTGTAAAACCCTGGGTGCCAGCGATTTCCCGCGGGAGGCGGATGTGTGTGATAACTGTAACCAAGGCTTTGTATCACCATTACTCCTCCGCTGTGGTCTCCTTAACCTCAAAAGGAAACAAATGTTTCATAACCTGCTGCCGAGACTGCTTCAGTTTCTCCTCTGTGGCCGCCAGCTCCCAAAGCTAATGACAAACGTTATGGATAAGCTTTCAGACTTTGACTATGGCAGTGCTGTGAGTCATGACTGAGAGCTTAGTGAAGTTACAGCTCGCTGTGATCGTGGTTCAACAGAGGCGGTTCCTGCTGTAGTGGAATCGCTGTGCTTGTGCAGTCATTCTGTAGCTTTTGGCCACACGTGACTGCAAACGCGTGTTTGTGCTGAGCAATGTGTCCTGCAGCTTGGGGACAGAGCACTCTGCTCTGCTCCTCTCCTACAGCTGCATTTAAGTTATGCCAGAAGCCACCTGAACTTGACAATTTTTTTTCCCCTTTCTCATCAGTAGGAAAAAAATATGGCAAACTGAGATTCCTTCCTTGTAGATTTGAATTGTTGTGAATAGCAGAACAACAGAGCAATGTGTCTTGCTGTGACACTTGAGTCCCTATTATTAAACAGTCTGAATCCATCAGAAAAGCTTTTTTTTAATACAATAGGTTTTTTTAAAAAAATCAGCAATGCTCTTTTAATTCTGATTGCTTAATAGTGTGAGTATTTGAATATGATAATACTGATCTCATAGTCCATAACAAGCAGATTTTTTTTTTCATATATACTTTCTGTAGGGTCTGTCATACAGGGCAAGTTTATAGATGGGTTTTTTCCCTTCTCTCTCCCTCTTTCCCCTGCAGCAATTGCCACAACCATTTTGCTTTCAGGCTTTCATCTCAGCACTTCAGTAACAGACTTAGTCAATGAGGAGAGAGAAGTGTGCACCTGCAGAGTCACTTATATATAATCCAGTAATTTGTTTGTGTAAGATGAGTGACATTTCTTATCAGCTTCCCAGACTCTGGTGTCATGCTCCAGTTTTGTTCCAGTGTTTAGACTTATTAAACATCTCAGAATTTAGACTTATTTCAGCATTCATGATATTTCAGTAACTAAGTGAAAGCTCTTTTTTGTGCACAAACTCACTAATATCTGAAATGTCTCTTCTTGGAAGTTGTCTTAGCCTCCAAACTCAGAGACCCCTGTAAACTCTTCAAGGTGTATTTTTCATTTGTAACACAGTGCCATGGGCAGAGAGAAAAAAGCATGTGATGTTAAATGTTTCAGAAGAAATTGTCAACACTATTTTTCATGTTGCCTTGCATTCCTTTTTGTAACAAAAGAATATCTACAGAGGTTTATATGTTGCATTTTGAGGAGGTGAAAAATAAATGCTTACAAAACAGTTTTTTAGTGTCTACAATTTTGCTATTGAAAGCTATATTCATTGAATACTGCAGTAATATATTTAAAGAGTTAAAAACATTTCCTAATCCTAAAGTCACTTTGTTGTGATACTTCCTTAATTTATATGGTTTATGTTAACTTTTAGTTGATTTGTAGACTGCATCTCAAATTTATTCAGGGCTGTCATTAAAACTGGGTATTCTGATGTGGGAATGGACAGATGACATGACTGGAGTGATGCTGACACACTGGTTTAAGCTGCATTAAAGACAGCGCTGTATTAAGTAGTATGTTTGGTAGGAAGGTTTTCCTGGCCAGTGTGGACAGGTATTTTTTCTTTTTCTTAATCCTGTAGTGTATAATTTGAATAAGTCTTTGGCATTGCCTCTGCTTGAGGCAAAGGAAAACATGTTTCTTAATTAAACCTTGGTATGATTTTCTTTCCTATGAGCTCTTGAAGACAAGAGAGAAAAACACAAATTACAGGTTTTCAATGCTCTACTAGAAAATGTATTTTGTTATACTGCTTGCTAGTACACCTGTTGAAGAGGGGTTGTGTATTGTTGGTGTAAAGGATTAGTTGACTTTTATTAGCAGCTAAAACATTTCCTTTGTTCACAGTAGCCAGAAACATTGATTGGTGTTATCTGGTTTCCATATCTGAAAGCTGTATCGCAAACTTTGAGTCCATCTATGTCAGAAGAAGCAGCAGAGGCATTCATCATGGCTCATTTGTCTTATCACTAAACAGTATCTCAGAAGCTGTCTCTGTTTAAGTTGATTGCTGTTGCTGTGATCTCTAACTCATACTTTCAGAGAATGTAGAGCAGTATCTCATAGAAAGCTTTTTATTTTCTTAATAAAGATCAGTTCTTCCCCATGACATGGTGTCAGTATTTAAATTCCCTGTTTAAAGATAATATCGGTTATGCTTTTAGTGAAGAACAGAACTATTCCTAAGGTGTTTGCTTTAGTTTGTTTCCAGATCCTAAGTTGCACTGATGATAACTTCAGGAAGAAAAATAATTTAAAAAAAAGTTAGTATTAATTTAGTATCAACAATTGTTGCATTCTGAGAACATGCTGTATGCTTCTAGAATGCAGTGACCCAGAGGACAGCTTTCTGTTTAGACTAGCACGTGCTGTCAAAAGGTTAAAAAAGCAGGGGGGAAGGCAGGATGTTGAAATGAAATTGGAGGTCTTTCCTTCTCACACTTAATTTTTGTCATTTTTCCTGCTCTTTAAGTTGCAGGAGTTCAAATCTGTCCCCCCATAATTTTGTTGTAGTAAATCTTTACCTTGTTGTTCTGCTGCAGCGTTGCCAGTGCCGATTGCTGCTGAGGGGGCCCTGAGGCTCTGCCACACCCGACCCAGTCTTCTGCAAACCTTTTTCTTACAGTCAAAACTTCAAATCATGCTTGATTTTGCTTTTGTTCTAAAGCTGAGAATTTAGGAAAGTGCATGTGTTAGTGCTGCAGTGTGTGTTTCACAGCACGCCTTTTCACTGGTACCTCCGTGAGATCTGCTGCACCCTAATAGTGTCCAGAAGCCATGGGTGAGCATTAAGTTGTGATCCAGCGTAGCCCTAATCCAGTAGTAAGTCTCTAACCTGAGCTGTTTCTGTCGTGCTGAGGGCAGAGGTTACTACTTGTGCGGATTTACTGCGAGAGTAAACAATCGCTATAGAAGTGTTGGGTGTGAAAGTATCTCCGTGTGTGCTGTGAATTGGAATGAGGCTGCAGAAGCGGGGTGTGCTCTGAGGAGAGGGAGCGCTCCGGAGCTCCTGCTGCACTTCTCCCGTGCCTTATCCTGCCTTCGGTGGGAGCTCGCTGGCTTTTCAAAGACTTGGAGACAATCACACAGCGATTCCTGTTGTCGCTTGTGTTTGTTTTTCCCAGGAGACACTCAGCTGCTGTCTGGTAGAAGGCAGTGTCGGGGCTAGCTGGCAGTTCTTGCAAACAGCTGGGCCCCCCGGTCTGTAGGCACCCGGTCTGTGGGGATCCATCCCATCCCATCCCATCCGTGCATGCCCGTGAGGAGCCGGAGCCGCCCGGAGCTCGGCAGGGCCATGGCGGGGCCAGCTCTGTCCAGGGTGCTGACGGGCAAGGGCACGGCCGGGCTGCTGTGCTGGGGCTGGGATCGTGCCCTGTCCCTTGGGAACGGTTTCCATCCTCTGGCACTGCTTGCCTGCATCCCCAGCAGTGCACATGGTCAGTAACTCGTGTTACTGACTGATATTGTGTGGAGCTTTTTGGTATAAAACTCCTCCTGGTTACACAAATCAGTGACCTTGAGGTTTTTGAGGGGTAGTGGAATATATAAGTTAATAGCATGACTTGTACAGCAATGAGAAACTCATCAGACCTTTTAAATTAGAGTCTTTTAAGCAGTACTTGTCCTTGAGATGGTTGCAAGGGCTTATAGGTTTTACAGTTTGATGATACAAGCCAGTTTAGTTTATCCAAGAACAAACCCACTTTTCTGGAGTCATGCTGAAACTGTCCACTGGCTTTTGGTGTGGAAGCACTGGAAGGAGATGTTGTTCAGTTGTTGAAGGAATCAGGAAGGTGCAATGCAACTTAGAAATAGTGGGGTTCCAGTTCATCAAGTTGTCTCATATCTCTTGGTTTAGTGGCATTTACATATGTAATGGTCACTGGAGCAAAACTTAATGGCAGTGATGGCTAGAAACTGGAAAATGTTATGTCTAAAATGTTCCTTAATCCTAAAAGATTTCCTTTCCAATTTTCTCCAAGTAAGATTTAAATCTTACCATTATATCTGATTAGAGGTTCAGTTTTTTTCTTACAAAAACAGTAACGCTGAAGAAGTCTTAAAGTAACTTGTTAGTTTAGAAAGTCTGCTATTAGAAACTTGAACTCATGTAAAAATTTCTTGCATTCTAAGAATGCAAGAGAAAGTAAATACAAAGTTCTTATTTAATGAGACTTGATTATGAGGTACTGATTGCAAGGCAATCTGGAAACTTAAAAGTTGATTTATGTTCTTTGTGTCTGTATTCCACATTAATGTGGACTTTTTTCTTCATCCATAAATATTCACCTATATGGGGATTTTTTTAAGACACATACCAGTACAACTTTTGAGCAATAACTTAAATAAATTCTGTTCTGTGCAAGTGTATAGTATTCATCTGTCTCATAAACACTACCTGAGACAAAAAAGTTAACTTCTAATTATTAATTATGTGTTTAATTTTTACATACTTTTTTTCTGTCTTAGCTGGAGATACAGATGATCCTCCAAGAATTACTCAAAATCCTGTCATTAATGGGAATGTAGCGATGGCTGATGGACATAACAACACTGAGGAAGACATGGAAGATGGTAAGTAAATATTTGATAAACACATTGTTTGGCTTCATTAGTTTTATGATTTTGAGAGAAAGTAGTCCATCTCTTACCTGTGTCCTGTGATCTGCAGCTCATTAAAAAAATGAATCCCTCTGTAGTTATGGCTGCTGGTTTTCTGTGTAGGCATCCTTTTGACATAGCTGTACAATAAGATCAGACTTCTGAAGGCTTGGGATTTTTTTCTTGTGCTCTTTCTAGGTACTCATTTAAAAATTGCTGAAAGTGCTGCTGTCCATTGTTCTGTTTTGTGATACAGCCCTTTAAAGGTGCTGCAGCTGGGCTTTGCTGAATAGTAGTTTTATCAGTTATGCAATTCCTTCAGGGTGTTTAGAATCCTTATCTGTCCTGCTCTCTTGTCAGGTGGCAGCTGTGATCTGGTTTTGTCTTTGTGTGGTAAGTCAGTGGTAACTATTCTGTTGATGAACATCTTTTGTTCTCAGTTCTGACACCTAATTTTACTTGCAAAAGCAAAAGAAAAATTATGTATTAATGTCCTGTTAATAAAAGGAACATGTGTTTTGGAAGTCATTTTCTTGGTCCATTAAATGAAAATAAGGGTGTACAGTTTGTTGAGGATCAAATAATTATAACTCTGGGTATATTTAAAGAAAGGTAACAGGTTTCTAAATCTGTTATGTTTAGTGAGGAAAATGTGCAGTGATATTTCTTTCATGGGAAAGGATATGGGCAGGGACTGCTCATTTTGAAGAATGAAGTAAAATTGTATTGGGAGAAGGGAAACATCATATGAGTGGGATTTGTTCCATATTTTGTGCTGTCTTGTGAGAGTACATTTAGGACTAGGCTTAAACTTTTAGTTAGATTTGTGCAAAAGTATTGAGTGATTTTTTTCAGAAAAACCAGAGTTTGAAGTTAAAGGTCAAAAAAGTGCTTATTTTAATGTGTTCAAGGAATGTAGAATACTATAGAAAATAGTAATGTTCCATGAAGAGAATAGGGTTTAAATTCAGAACAAAAGCATCTCATGCTTGAATCACCTCTGTATCACTGGCAGAGATAAAGTTTTCTATGATGAGAGTCTTGCAATTAAAGAAAAATGTAATCTGCTTAGCCTGTGAATTTTATTTTTGGGGTTACCTAATCTCATTCAGAGGGTTTTGATTTATTGCTCAGAGTTTGTTCTTATAAAAGCTGTTATAAAAGATGTTAAATGTCTGTCAGGCCCTGGTATTTAGAGGGTGGCAAGAGAAGGCTACATGGGTTGACACCAACTGGCTAGAACAGATCTGTTTGAGCTCTGTTCTTGGTAGGGATGTTTATATGTAGAATGCCTGGTAGTGTTTGCTGTTGATACAACCAGTGCATAACACATTGGTGAATTAGAAAAATCCACTAGTTGGTCTGTATATACTTGCACAAATTAGCCAAAATAGGGACTTAAACTGCAGAAATAGCTGAGGGCAAGCAATCAGATATTCACCTCTTCATTCAGAATAACATTGACCCATTAGCCAAATAACTGCTGTGAACCTGTTTGCATCAATTCCCAACTCTTTGACTCTCAGAACTGGGTATTAAAGGTGTTGCACTAGGGAGAAAAAGTATCTGAAGGCATTTGACAGAAGTTTGTGAGAACTTCTCATGCCTTTATGGACTTCCAGCATGGTCAGGAGCTCGGGCCCACTCTGCAGTGGGACACCCTTCAGGCTTCAAGTGTGATTATTAAGCAATACTCTTAATAGTTCCTCATTATATTTGAATAAGGAGTGTCTGGCTACATGTTGGTGCTGCTACAGCTGTGCATTGACACAGATAGAGAAAAGTGTTATTGCAAAATGTTAAGAGTTGCAAAAACATTCCTGAAGACTTACATCATGTAAGTGGATGGTGCCTCTTTTCCAAGTCTTGTAAATCAGATTAATTGCTTGCTGTTGCATTATTTACACATCAGTGCAATTGTTCTCTTGCTGTTTGTGCTCTTGCTAACCTGGTTTGCAGTATGATGTGCATGGGTAATGGACAGCTCAGAGATTACAAAGACAGGGAAAAGGGCAGATATGGGCTTCTCTGATAAATACGCAGTTTTCCTTTCAAGGGACATCAATCTGAGCTGATACAGAATGGATGAGGAGAATTTAGATACCTCTTCAGTGAAATTAATGAGTTTAATGGTTCCTGTGAGAGAGGTGAACAGTAAGATGAAAGGTTGATGCTTCCAGCTGGATCATAAAAATCGGCTTTCTGGTGATTTTCTGAGTTCAAGAAACTTTTGAGCTGGTTTTGTTCTTCCAGCTTAGCACATAAAGAAATGACTGATAAGATTGGGGGAAAAAAAAGTGCAGCTCTCATCCCCTTTGCTAGGCAACAGGCTGCAGGCATTGTGAGGCACAGGGAATGGGAGCGCAGTGCACCTGCAGCAGGACTTTCAGATAAGGCTGTGTTCTCTCAAGGCTGTGACCAGTACCTGTTGCTGCTCTGTGGGAAGTCTTAGCAATTAAAAAAAAAAAACAACTGAAGGACTGTGCTGTGCTTTGTGTGGAGAAGAACTTAAATGAACCAGACTTTAAAAGCTGGAATAGCAGCCTCTGCAAATAAAGTAAAAAATATTAAAAACAAGGCTCTGATCAAAACTTGTTTGCAAGTGCATGAGTATTCAAAGCAACACATAGAGTAAATTCTCTTAGAAGTTAAAGTTCAAACAGAAGGTCCCTAGCTGAACATAAACTCACAGCTTTGCCATTACCTCCTGAAGTCTCATTTCTGTGAGGAATTGCAGAGGCAAGAAGGCTTTCAGAAGCATCAGTCTTAGCCATATGCTGGTATTGCATGCTGTATTTGGATCATTATTAAAATATTCATAGAATATTCAGCCAGTTTCTCCATTAATAATTCAGGTTCAGAATATTTTAATAACTCCAGTGCACTTTCAAGGTAGCAACATTTACTAAGAGAATAAAGAAATCTGCTTTTCCCCAAAGTATCAACATTTAAATATGTGTTTCAGCCTTAAAATGGATCCTGTTCAGTATTTGGATCTCTGATTTGAAGGATCTTTCTTCTGTGAAGATGCTGAATGTGACATTCATCACATCAATGAAAAAATGTTTCCCATATAGCAAAGACAGTCCATTGCATGTAATTTGTCCAAGTATTGTCAGCTGGATCAATCCTTTTGACTTTGTGTTCAATTTGTAGTTCTGGGATTTATAAAAGTCTCACTTGCCAGTCACCACTAAATTATCCTGCTGCCAGTTGCAGTCTTTAACTGGAATCTGGAGGACATGTTCATGGTGGCAAAAAAGGCTTTATCTATTGGTGTAATTTTCATGTTTGCTATGTAAACTTCTTTTTCTAATAAAATTCATCCTTTAATCCATTATAGTTCCTAAGAAAAAATAGGCTTACTGACAGGAAAGGAATGTTGTTATTTTTAAAGAAACTTCTATTTTAGGGTTGACCTGTGTTACAAGGCTGCATTTTTATGGAGCAGTTACTACTGCTTGCTCAAATATTTTACAGAGAAGAGTTCCCATTCCCTGGTGAGCTCTCATGCACAGGCTTTCCTGAAAAGAAACCAAGAAATACAGGCAAACTTTCTCTGAAGCATCTGCAGATGCTGCGTGGGCTGCAGTTTTTAGCTGACACTGTAGCAGCACTGCTGCATCCTTGTGCTGAAGTGCTTTGAAAGCTGCATCAAAGGAGGCAGAAAGCAAACTTGGCTCGTTTTTTGGAAGCTCAGGCTGAGCCCAGAAGCACTGATATCATGATTGTGAGTAGGGAGGTGGCCTCAAGTTGGTTTGAGATACACGTGTGATACAAGACTGATTTTAAAATAAGTGTGTTACAGGTTTGTTTCATCTTGGCTGCAAATCAAGTTAGAGCTCCTCTGTCTGCAGCCTGTCAGGTTCTTGGGTGTAGAGGATCAGCTCTTCACTCTGTCAACGGGCAGTGAGTAGAGAAACTGGGAAGAGAGCATTTTATAAGTAGGTGACAGACTGTAGTTAGCTGCACTTCCAGGCAGGGAAAAAGGAGAAAGTAATCCTTTGAACTCTCATGTTACTGAGGAAGCTGACAGCACAGGGCAACACCAAGGTCTTTGCAGGAATGGAGGGGACAGGAAGCAGATTTGGGCTGTAGTACATCCAAGAGATAATTGGAGTGCTTAGGGCTGTCAGACCATACACAAAAAATATTCCGTGTTGCAGTTCAGGAGTAGGACAACTGCATGAAAACTGCTTCACAAGGGAGAAGAATGAAATCTCTCCTAGCTCCCTAGCAGTTGTGGCTAAAACTTGGTAATTTTCTGTATGAAATGTATAATCTTTACCCTGTTGCATGTTGTAATCAAGAGTGTTCCATTTTTAAATTAAGGTAGCAATCAGGACTCACCTGTGTTTTGGAAAAATGATTCAGTGCTGTGTCTGGTGCTGTGCCAAGCTGAGTAAACCTCTGCTGTCCTTGTATGGCAGGGACACCTTTGTTGTACTGTGTGCCTTGTCACAGCTCCCACTCTGACTTCTGCCTCAGTGGTGTTGTCCCTCAGTGCTGTTTGATTTCAGTGTCACTGCATGTGTGACACACCTTTGGTTGTGCAGTGAGAGCAGCAGGGTGACCATGGGTGTGCTCATCCAACCTCCTTAGAGCCAGGAGGATTCCCTGTTACACCAGTGTCAGACTGGAACCAGGGAGTGACACTGTCTTGTGCATCCCTGGCCTGTCAAGTTGTTGGGATAAGTTGCAGGTTTTTTCTCTGAGTGCAATATGAGGCATGTCACAGTAAAGAGAGCCTGGCCTTGTGCCTTGCTGAATCTGTCACAGTCTCCAGCACCCTGTTATAGCTGTGTACTACAGAAGCAGAACAGATTGTGGTAGGTGAAGAACTGGGTATGTGGGAAGAAGGCAAAATTACTTAAATTGTGTGTGTCAAAATAAGCTCTTTGAAAAAAAATAGTCTCATTTAACTTTGTGCTAGACCACTAAAAATCTCTAAAGTCATTGCATAGCACAAAGAAAACAGGACCCTACTCTTGAGCTGATTTTCAGCACACTGATACAATTTTACAGAAATCCAACAACCATCCTCTGGCATTCATCTGTTTTAAATCTACTATTGCAAGCCAAAAGCAACTAAATGGTGACATGATATCAACAGGGCATTTGAACAGATTGTGAAACTCTATTGTGCATATGGGTTCACACAGAGAAGTGACTTAAACTGGGCTGTGGAGATGCTACACAACAAGAAGAGTTAGAGTGGGCTGTGATTTTGTTGTAGAGCATTTGATGTCTCTGTCTTACTGCACCTGCTGCTTTAAAAGAAGCTGCAGTGGTAACAAATCCAAAGAAGCATTGGAGGAAATAGTGTACAAAAGGAATGTGTCTTGCAGTGCCATGTTTGCCTGAATGGAGTTGCAGTGTTTTTCAAAATGAAAAAATTGAGATGTCAGTAATTAAGTCCTGTGGGATGGGGATGTTTTTGTTGCTGCCAATATTCCACTACATGAAACATGCTCATGTTCCATGATGTTGGTCATTTTGGAGTGAGGAAGGTGAGGTGTTTGAAGCCACGCTGTGTGTGTGTTACAGATACAAGCTGGCGATCAGAAGCAACGTTTCAGTTTACAGTGGAACGCTTCAACAGGTTGAGTGAGTCAGTGCTCAGCCCGCCGTGCTTCGTTCGGAATTTGCCATGGAAGATCATGGTGATGCCTCGGCTCTACCCCGACAGACCTCACCAAAAGAGTGTAGGATTCTTCCTTCAGTGCAATGCTGAGTCTGATTCCACGTAAGAGCCCTTCAATTATTGTACAGCTCCTCCCTTGATACTGGTTAATCTATTGCAAGAAATACAAACTAACCCTTGCTTTCTGTAAGAGGAAAGAATTGCAAGGGTTTAAGTGCCCTTTATCCCCCACCTTTCTGAATCTAAAAGCATGAGAATAATCTCCTCTTTAGGATGAGCGAAAATCAGCTTGAGTGACTAGAAGTTTTTGGTAGAACTTAGATATGTGCTTGCTGAAGGAGAAACCCTTGACTGACAGTTTTCTTGGCATGGAAAAAGTTCTGGGTTTATTTCAAATGAAAATGGAGTTTCTATAAATGCTGCCCTGTGAAGCGTGTGAGCAGGTAACTGCTACCAGTGCAGGCAGAGCAGGGCATGAGTGCTCTCCTTAAGTGGAGTCCATCACTCATCCAAAAAGATCTGAACATGTGTGTGTTCTTGGGGTCCTGCATGCTGATCAACACTGACTACCTTTGACCACTTTTGGAAATAACAGAAAAATTGAGAAAGATAACTACAAATTTCTGGAGCATTCCTGTAGCTTACTCAGGAAGAGTGCAGACCTCTCAGGTGTCCTTTCCAATAGGGTAACTCCATTCTGGCCCTGAATCTCACAAAGCTTGTTTACTCTGAATAATAAATTCACTTCTTCATCATTTTTAGAATTTAGAGATGAGTGCTCAGGGCAGAATGTAAAGAAAAAGTTATAAGTGTATTAACAAGTCACAGGCCATGTGATTCACATCCAAGCATTTATAGAAAAAGGGTGATCTTCAGAAGTACCAACCAAGGTGTAGCTGGTGGAGCTGAGCAAGCAGTGCCAGTGCATGAGGCAGTGCCAGGACCTGGTCTGAGCTGTGTCCACACTGATTGCCTTGCACAAGTGGTGGTTTTGAACACAGTGGTCATGAAGTGCTGCTGGGACAATTAGTGTAGGGGAGTTTATCCTGTGGGAGGGAGGGTAGAAGCTCCTCATCCTTTGCTTCCCAAAGGCTGAGACCTCCCTGTCTGTGGACACCAAGAGCACTTGGAGCTGCCCATCCCTGTGCAGTGAGGCAGATCAGAGCTAACTCACCTGGGGGAGCCCTCAGCTTCTTAAACAACCTGCAAGTCACTGACACTTTCTTGTCAACACTGTTGCCATAAGAAAATCTCCGTTCCAGCTTCATAATGTGGCTTCAGAAAGCCCCAGAGGTTCATGCCCTCAATAACAATTAACATCTAATAAGAAAAAAAAAATCAGATGTGTGAAAGTAATGAACCAAAAATTCCTAACAAAAAAAATTATGTAACTTGCTATAAAAAGCTTGGTTTTGAAAGAGTTTCAAGTGTTTCTTCTGTATTTATAGGTCATGGTCCTGTCATGCACAAGCAGTTCTCAAGATAATAAACTACAAGGATGATGAAAAATCATTCAGTCGTCGTATTAGTCACTTGTTCTTTCACAAGGAGAATGACTGGGGCTTTTCTAACTTCATGGCCTGGAGTGTAAGTAATTGGACATGTATTAATCTATTGCTAGGTAGGAGCAGTTTTGTACCTGTGCTCCTGCATACTGAGATGCTGATAGCAAAGGGTTTTTTTCCCCAAGCTGATGGGTTTTTTTCTATCATTGCTGATTTCTTTTCAATTTCTTACTCTGTTAATTTGATTTTTTTAAGAGTGCTTTTACTTATGTTGTAATTTAAATATTCCCTTATTACTATTTTCTGCCTGACTGCTTGTGTTTGGTTATCGCTAAGTGATAGTCACTGACATTCTGAAGCAGCATAAATTTGCTTGCATTTCCTTGTGTTCTTTCTGTGTATGTACATGTGTGTTTAATGCCCTGATAGTACTACTAAGGTTTCTCTTTAATTGTGAGAGCTTTCTAAGCATTTGCAAAAGTTTTGGAATATTGTCCAGAAGAAGCAGAACATTTGATTACCAAATCTTACATTGTTGAAAACCAAAACACTATTGCAAAATCTTAAAAGGCAGGAACAAGTTTCCTGCATTGAGACACTAAAAAAGAATTAAAATCTAGTAAGTGGAAAAACAACTGCTTTGGTGTTCTTCAGTTTTTCTTCTTCAGTTTATTACTACTGATAACTCAGGCTTGCAAATTAGAAAGTGGCATCTAACAGGATGCTTTACTGCAGCCATGTTGCATGTTCCACTTTTCATGTTCCTGTGTCATTGGTGTTTTACAGGAAGTTACTGATCCTGAAAAAGGCTTTATAGAAGAGGACAAAGTTACTTTTGAAGTCTATGTTCAAGCAGATGCTCCACATGGAGTAGCGTAAGTATCTTTGATTCAAAACAAAGCAGTGTTAAAAATTCTTATATTCTATGTAATTCTAATATTTTTATGTTGTTTGTGATCATTCAAGTGTTCTGTGTTATTGTCATTTGTAGCTCCCATCAGACATTGTCACTTTGTCACTACTGGTTGATGAATTCTCACATGGCAATTTTTTCATAGTCACAGAGATTTTGTATAGCTTAAATTTCTGTTTGCATCAGTCAGCAAAATGCTGCAGAGCCTCAGCTTGTGTGTGAGTTGGTTTGTGATTGAACACCTCTGCAGCTGTGGCCTGAGCATTTGTGGTGTGGGAGCTGATGGGGTTTCAGGAGCAGCCAAGTGCTGTGTAACCTTGGTTTACAGTTGTTGTAAAACTGCTTCATCTCAGTTGTTCTCCTTCATGGCACTTGTAAACAGTGGGGTTGTACAGAGGTGCAGACTTGCCCTTAAAAGTACAGCTCTGAGCTCCAGGACACTCTCCCAGGACATCCTTTTTTTGCCATATAGGACATATTTTTTTTAAAAAATGTAGTAAAATCACTAAGCATCTAATTGCAAAGCCTGTTGTTACTGGCAGGCAGCAGTGGAGTGGAGTGTGAACCTTCAGTAGCAGTGGAGAGTAGCTGATACCTACCAGCAGCTACCTTAGAACAAACACTCTTTATTGTTGGAATACAGAACTTCCTTGTTTTTAACCACAAACTATTTTCTAGGTGGGATTCAAAGAAGCACACAGGATATGTTGGCCTAAAGAACCAGGGAGCAACTTGTTACATGAACAGTTTGTTACAGACTTTATTTTTCACAAATCAGCTACGAAAGGTAAGCAATACATGAAAGAATGAAAGATTATAACATTGGCTGTTTTAATTAGCATTTCTAAATACTTCAAAACAGACCTGTGTGATATTTTGCCTCCTTTATCCTTTCAGAGAGTTGTGACTTACATGGTGATGCATGTCTTACTGCAGGCAGAGCACAGGAAGCTTCCTTTTGTAGTTTGTGGAACACAAGCTTTTGTCTTCTGTGGAAGCAGGCAGAGCACCTGAAGAGGAGCACCTGAGCTTAGGGGGTGTTTCTGTATTCTGTATTATATGTTAATATTGCTAGGAATTGCTGGGGGCAGGGAAAGCAGTTTAACCTTGAAGATAAAAGATGAAACAATTTTCCCTTTTCTGAAATACTTAAAATAGGGAATTATGACTTCTCAGCCCATAAACAATGCACAAAGATACACATTTGCTCCATCTTGAAATTGCTAATATGCAGCACAATTTTTTTGTTATTATGGTTGCCATTCTGTAGTGATGCAAAACATTACATTTTCAGTAGTTCAAACAACATAATTTTATATTTACTTTAGTAATATTTTTTTGTTTACTGTAGGTGTTATTTCTTTGCTGGAAAGAGCTGCTTTAAATACCTTTTTAATAAATATCTCATCTAAAGCCAGGATAAAATACACTAGTTAATGTATAACTTTAAAATTGTGCAGTACCCTTACTGGGATTAAAAACAGAAGTGATGACTAGATATTGGAGGTGGCTATTTAGAAGAGGGAATGTACTTGGAGAAAAAAAAACAATGTGGCACTATTCAGTGTATTGGAGTTTCCTATTGATCCTAATTCATCCTTCTGTGCATTTCTGCACTTACTGTCTGTCTCTTAGTGAAAATGAACTGCTTTAACTTGGACTTTCTCTTATGTGGACTAGTTGCAGTTCAGTTAAGCTTTCTTTTCCCTTTTTGATGTACCTGCTTTCCACTATTTGTAATTTCCCACCATCTTACTTTTTATATCCCTGTGGTAAGTGTCCCAGTTGGCATTTCTTTTTTCTCTTTGTAATGCTGTTTACTCTGAAGCACTGCAAAAAAAAAAAATAACACTTCAAACTCCAACAGAATGTAACAGATCTTCCTAATGCCATGGACAACAGATAAATACTTGACTTGTTTTACATGATGCACCTGTTCCTTTTTTTGCAGGAGGTATAATTTACTCATTCAGTTTATCACTCATTATGGTGCCTGTTCTTTTTGCTCAGCACTCAGTGTTTGTGCATTTTACTCTTTTGGATAACTCACTTTGCTCTTGAGAGAAAAAAATGTATTTTTGTAATAACTCCATCTAATGCAGTTGAGTAGTTTGTTCAAGACTGTCTTGTACCCACTAAATCAGTATGTACCATGAAGTAGTGAAGAAGGAATTCTTTTTGTAATACAGATTGGTTTCAACTGAACTGATCTTACCAAGCATTTCCTGTGCTTCTTCCCCAGCCCCAAAATAAAAGCAACTTTTAGCATCTCTTAATATCTGGGTAGTGACCGTGTGAGAAAACTTAATTTCTAGAGTTGGTAGCTGCAGCTTCCTTTATGGAAGTGTTCCTGGACATCAGCTGGAATGTTCAATTCCTTGCTCATTCAGAGCACCACCAAACAGAACAGATGAAAAAAACAGTGACAGTTTTAGACAGCTTTAGCTCTTATCTGCCGTTGGTACACATCAGGAAGAAGCAGTTGTTGCTTTGTCTGAAAAAAGTAAATTTTGCATTTTTGTTTTCACTTTGTCCAAACTTGTTCTTCTTAAACCAAGGTAAAATAAAACAAAACGTGCAGTACCCTTGGTTTGCTTTTCACCATTTCCATAATTTGAGTGAATCCTCCTTCCTTGGAAGAAACAATGATTTCTGTTGCTGTTACTTGAGCTTTGTTCGCAGAGGAGCTGCTGTCAGGAGCAGAGCTGGGGAAGCAATGAACAATAGCAAAGGCAGGCACATCCCTGTGGCAAGTCAGGCCCTGGGGAAGCGTGGGTGAGGATGATGGAGAGCTCCTTTCTTCTCTGCTCTGCTTCCCCGTGGCACATGGGAGGCTCTGGTTGGAAATGAGACCTCCCTCTTAAGCAACAAGAGGTGGCTTCAGTGGTAGAGAATAAAGAAAGGAGCTTTGACATTAGAGCACATTGGTATTTGTTGTTTGGGAGTGATAAATGTGTGCTTATTCCAGTAGGGAATAAGTCCAGGGGTGACTTCCCAGAGGGTCCAGGTGTCACCCTGAGCTCTGATACCTGAGGTGTCCCTTTAATGCCTGTGGCTGCATTCAGTGCAGTTTGGAACTTTCTGCTGGTTCCCTTGTAAAAGTCCCTACAACTCATAAGAACGTTACAGAATGTTTATATAAATACATTAAAATAATAAATGCTGGTCCATTTCTCCCTGATCTGGTTCTACTCAGGTTATCCAATATATTTTACCTAACCTTGGAATTCCATGCATGGTATTTATTTCCCTTCTTTAAGTAATTCGTGCTTTTAAGCAATGTGTTCAAAGTTACCTGTAGCATTCTATTATTATATAAATATCTAAAATTTTTCTCATATCTCTCAATATGCCTGTACATGTTCCTACCCCTCTTTAATGTTCATTTCCTGAGGGAACTTCTCAGGTGTTAAATGAGACACCCTGCTATTTTACATGGATCAGAATGCCTCACTCCTTTATCATGAGGTCAAGCTTTCAGAATCTGGGAGGATAAGGCAAAAAAAGCTTTGAAGAGGATAATATTTAAAAAGTGGTAGCGTGGAGAAACACTTAAACTTAGAGAAATGAGCTCCAATATTACCTAAATACAGAAACAGAATGAAGAGCCAAGAAAGGCTGTGTTAAATGTCTGCTTTGTCATAACACACGTAGAATTTCCAAAGAAGTAAAACTGGTGTTTTTATTCAATGACAACTGGAATGTAGTAATTATAAGTAAGTTGTAAATTACTGTTTGAGTTTTACTTGAGAGATATAGGAAGGGAATTAATTGTCCAGATGGTATATGAGAAAAACATTTTAAAAATTGGGAACTAAAGGCAAAGGATTTGATTTTGATTAATTATCAAGGTATTCTGAACTCTAGTTTATGCATTTTTGAAGGAAGAGTCAATCACAAGATTGATTTTTAGCCTGCTGTAGGTTAGCATATTAGTATTTATTTTTTGAATGTATCAACACTGACTATATTTGCATTTTTTCATGACTTGATTTTCACACTTTGTTTCTATTTGTTTAACATACCAAGTATCTATCTTTGTTTTTTAAAAAGCATTTATAAGATGTTCAAAAAGGTTAATAGAGACTGATGATAGAGTTTTGGAAGATCTGAGGCTTGATCATTCAACTACTTTTGTTCCTACTGTTAGCTAGTGACACCTACCCTTGAAAAGGTTCATAAACCAGGTACAGGAAGAGGTTTAAAGTTGATTCTTCAAGGTGCTGACTTGTTCTGGTGTTGATATTTTAAAGCAAAAAATAACTTTTGCTTGTGAAATTGAAGGTATAACTCTATCTAGTGATATTTGAGGTTTTCCCAGATCAACCTGGTTAACTGGGATTCTGCATTTGGATGATAAAAATAAAACAACTGGAAAAGGTTTATTGAGTTTCAACAGTTAAAACCTGTTGCCAGTGATAAAACTGAAGATGCAATTTTCCTCAATTAAAAAAAAAATTATAAAAGAAGTTTAAGCAAATTTCAAAGTGGAGCAAGTAAGTTGATACATTTTGAATTTTTATTAATGCTTCCTTTTAATATGTGTAAGTGCTATTAACAGTATAGCTTGCAACTGAGGAGGAATAAAATTTGGAAGTTACTTGTGTTCATGATTCTGTTTTAGATCATCTCTATTGACTGGTAACTTCTGAAAATTAAATAAAAAATCTTAAATGCACCCAGGTCCACTTCAGCACTTCACTCTCAGAAATGGATCATTCCCTGGTGTTTCACAGGCAGAAATTCAGATGGCAATTTCTCTGGTTTTAACAGGTTATTTTCTCATATGCTGCTTAATATTGGAGGCTTTTTTAGTTTCATTTGTTGCCTAATCTCCTTCCAGGGCTGTCTGTTCCTTTTTATATTTACGCTTCTCAAATGAACATCTCCCTTTTGTTTGCTCTTCCTTTCCCCTGGATATATTGCTGTACACTTTTTAAAAAGTAAATCTTATCTCAGTGACTATTGAACTCTCCTAATCCCTGTTTGGTCTATTTGTGTAATTTCTTTGTTCCCAATCCTTCCCAGGTCAGTATAATCGGTGAATTGAATTGTTAAGCTGTTTATTTGCTGGACAGCGATGACGTTAAGTAGGAATGAATGAATGAATCAGGAGCTCTCAGAGCTTCCTCTGACATCTTTCTCCATGTGGACCATTTCTGGTTTTGTTCACTTGTTGCCCTTTATGGTTTCATGTGGTTGCTTTTTCACAAAACCAGTTATTTTCAAGTCTGTGGTATTGACTGCTATATCTGGTCCTACTGTGATGATTGCAGAGACATACTGGGCATGAGAAGGTGTTTGAAGGTGTTAAATGCTTTAGTGCATTTACTGTTCTAGGCTGGAATAAGGGAGCTACTTAGATAAAATAACTATGAATGGAATCTGTTGTTCACATTTTTCTAACCACTGTGCTCTAGGAAGAGTTGTTCCAGACAATTAATGTTTTTACACTACAGTACAAGATTTTTTTCAGACTTTTTTGAAGTGTTGATTAAATTGAGTTCTATGAAGGAAGTCACTGAAGAGGAAAGAATGCATTAAACAGGATGAGCAATAAACTTTTCTGATACTAATTGAACTAAATGCTTTTTCAGGCTGTGTACATGATGCCCACAGAAGGAGATGATTCATCCAAAAGTGTTCCTTTAGCATTGCAAAGAGTGTTTTATGAGCTGCAACATAGTGACAAACCAGTTGGAACTAAAAAGCTAACAAAATCATTTGGGTAAGTTTCAGAAACCTGGACTGTTTATTGAACTCAAGCTTCATAAAGCTTTTCTTTAAAAAGATAATATTAAGGTTACTTTTAGAGAGGTTCAGAGAAGTGTTAATGCAACATGGTTTTAATTGTTAGCTTTCTGTAGTTTACTTGCATAGGATTTTATTTGTAGCCAGTACTGAGACAGCTGTTCCAAAAGTCAGATTTTTTGGGAAGGTGAATGGTACAGAAACAGAGCTGTTAAAAGCAGGGTTATCATTTACCTGAACATTGTGTGATGCGTTTGACTTGAGTAAAATTCAGAAGAAAAGTCATTGAAACATGAAATCTGTTTTAGAATTAGTGCAATAGCAGTTATTTGCATGTCCATGCTGTTGAACATTGATGGCTGCTGTAACATTTTCCTACAGCATACTGAAGACACTGAAGTTAGGACAGAAAGATTAACATTAGTATAACCTTTACAAGTCTTCTCTTTGCATGTCTTGTAAGTGCAGAGTAGGATTTAATTAAAGTCAATTCTGAAATACTTTATTTTGTATTACTTTGTCTCACTGTACTTATAGGCTAGTTTTGTAGTAATACTGACAAGCCCTGTTTTATTTCAAAACACATTAGGAACATATCTTATTTCAAAGTACACTTTGTATCATCTTTTTCATACAGTTGTTCATCTTGCATCTGCTGCTACAACCTGTAGTTGTGTTCTGTCCTAAAACAACGTCTTTGCAACCTTGTGTCTTGGCAACCTTGACTCTTCCCCTTTAGGAGAATCTTAAAAGGAAATCAGACCCTCAGTGTTGTCTGTTTATTTGGCCATACCCTCTTCCTACTGGCAGACTGTATATTTGGTGTATCAGTGCTCCTATCCTGTAACAGGACAGGACTTGGTGGTAAAGTAAATATTCCATCTCCAGTTAAGATCCCAGTAGCTTGAAGAGGCCATTTCCAAGGGTGTTGCAGGTGCTTAATTTTGTATCCAACAGCAGGGTTCAGAAATGTGTTCATGCCTGCTTTTGTTCTTGGAAAAGAATTTTGGAATATGTTTGAAGATTTAGGTTTCCCCCTTGCATCACCATTGAATCAAAGAGGGGATTTTGGACTTGTGAGCCCTGGGTGCTCGGGTATTTTTAGGGTATTACTTTTTACTGAGTGTTGTGAATTTCTAGGTTTGACTTTAAGTAGAAAATGATGCCATGTCTGAAGGAGCCCTTCTTTACCCCAATTTTAGTGTGTGACCTTTTTCTTTGGTTGTCCTATGAGCTGGCTAGTGTTTAAAGCCTAGAGAGTCAGGGCATTATTTTCTATTCTTAATTATCTGACAGGCCACTTGATTCAGCTTGTTTAATGTGGACCCCACACAGTTGTTGGCACACTTGGGAGATTAGTTTGCTGCCATGTGACAGTGGGGGTGAGTCAGTGAGAAGAGAGTGGGAGGGAGGATAAAGTCAGCACTGCTCCTGATCACCCTGCTGCTGCTTCCAGGGCCAGGGTGGAGCATCACACTGAACCTGGAGCCTACAGTCAGCACAGTTCACTTTATACAGCTGGGAGTGCTGGGTGACTGCTGCAAAAAATGTTGTCAGAGACTTAGAACTTAAAAAGTTTTCTTGAGTTGAAGTTACAGTTTTCACAGGTGTATTTAATGCTGGAACTAGAAACACTTTGTGCTTCTTGTTTTATTGAAGGCAGGAGTGCTGAACACCCTCATTGCAGTGTGCCATGCTGGCTGTGAGGCATTGAGATCCTGCTGCCCTCACCCCTGCTTTCACACCCTGTGTTTGCACATGGACAGCTCAGAAAGCTGAATGCCTCCTTGCAGTTACTGCATGCCCAGGATTAACTGTTTAGATGAGGACAAAGGAGCCAGTCTTTCCTATAAATCCATTTGCTTCCTTTCCTGTGCTGAAATAATCCCTGAACACCACTTGACTGCACCTGAAGGGCCCTCAGAAGAGAGGCAGCTGGAAACCTGCTGTGGAAACTGATGGCATTGAATTGCCCCCAAGCCTTTATTTAAGAGTTTTTTGGCGTGAACAGAGGCTGGAAAGGCAACAGCCTGGCTGTGGCCTCCTCACCCAGAGCCTTTGCTGTCCTTGCCCCAGTCCCACACAGGAGAAGTGGGGTGGGCTCAGAACAGCTGCCAAAATCTCCCTCAAGTTCCCTGCCCCTTCTTCCTACACAGCTGGAGAACCTGTGCATCAGCCAGTCCTAAATCTCAGTCTGTACAGTTTGCTGTATATTACATTCTTGATCTGCAAAGAAATCAACAAATGTCTTTTCAGGTGTTTTTTTCCCCTAATTAGTAATTTTTTATTTATTTGCCTTACAAAGGTGGGAAACTTTAGACAGCTTCATGCAACATGATGTCCAGGAATTATGTCGAGTGGTATGTTGATACTATTTCTTGCTGGTCTGTGATGTATAAATTTCTGTTGATATTCTGTGTGTGTATATATATAAAATATAGCATAGGAGCTATCAGAGTAATAGTGGCTCTGATTAATTTAATTCAAGGCAAGAGTTTTTGCCTTGGTTTCTCTTTAAGAATGGGATTGCTTGTGGCCTTTTGTGGGTGAGGAATTTTTAAAGAGTAGTGAGGCTTGAAAGTTGCTGGAACATGTGCTAGTGGTACTAGCACATGGAGAGAAGTGCAGTTTTGAAGATGAAATGCATTGTTTGATCTGTGGGGGTTTGCAGACTCAAAGGAATGGAGTAGCTGGAGTAGCCCTCAGTTTAGGGGAAGGAGGAGGATTTAAAGGACTAGAAAGGAGATGCCAGTACAAATAGACTAACATTTCATTTCTGTCCAAGTGACTTAGCATCTAATCAGTTAAGTAGTCGTGTGTGTGATGAATAAATTTAAAAACTGCAAGATTATCTTATGTAAAAACTGTTTCTTTCAGCTGCTTGATAATGTGGAAAATAAAATGAAAGGCACATGTGTAGAAGGCACTATCCCTAAATTGTTCAGAGGGAAGATGGTGGTATGTATTTTATACCTTTCTCAAAAATAATTTAAATTATTTCTTGTTACTTTTATAAAACTGAACTTCTGTGTTGTTTTGGTTTTGTTTGCAGTCTTATATCCAATGCAAGCACGTGGACTATCGGTCTGAACGAATAGAAGATTATTATGACATCCAGCTAAGTATAAAGGGAAAGAAAAACAGTAAGTGATACATTGTGACATGCACCCATCCAGTACTTCAGCATGCTGGGCAAATTCAGTGCCTGTTGTTTTTAAATGGGTTTGTTGGTGCACAGTGGTTGGAAATCTGTGCTTTAGGACACCTTATTGAAAACATTTTCAATGCAGAGAATGTTTCTGCCTGCATTACATTTCTTTTTTTTTTCCTTATTCCATTTCCTTTCCCTGCTTCTTTCTCCCTCATTCTCTCACTGGTATCTTTTCATGAAGCTCTAAGAGCTTCAGGAGTTTTCTGGTGTCATAAGACTGTGCCATGGTGATCACAGTGGTATTGTCACAGTAGTTATAATTTACATATAATGATGAACTTGGATAAAATAGATTCTTATTTAGACCTGGCCATAGTAGTAAGACAAAAAAAGACTTAACTACTCATCACAGGGGTGCCTTGTCGTCTCTTTACTGAGCAACTGGGCATGGGGAAGGATGTGTAAGAATGCAGCAAACAGAGACATTGGCTTGATGCTTGTGAAGTTGAGAAGTTGTGGCAGACAGCTGTAGCTGTGTGATTTTAAAATCTGCTGATATTCTTAGATATGCCTCTGCAATATGGTGCATTTCTTGATATTCTTAAACAATATAAAATTATACTTAAAGTAAGGACAGAAGTACTCAAACACAAACTCTTCTGTCCTAATATTTAATTTGATTAATATTGTGCAGGCTAGAGTAAACGTACATTTTTTCCCAATCTTTTTTCATTCAGTTTTTGAGTCCTTCATTGACTACGTTGCAGTGGAGCAGTTGGATGGTGATAACAAGTATGATGCAGGAGAGCATGGCTTGCAGGTATTGTTTTTTTTAAACCTGGTTTTAAATCTTATTTCTTTATCTTTGATAAAATAACAGTCTTGCAAAACCCATTCTAGATTTTATCAACTGATTTTGGTGATGTTTTGTCTTAGACAAGCTTTTTTTAAAGCTCCTCTTATTTGGTGTTAGGTTTCTTAAAATGGAACTCACATTTTACAGCAATTTAATTTGTAGTGAGTTTTATAGGTCCAAGTCTTCCAGTTGCTAGAATGGTTTGTTTTTCCACCAATCTCAAGACTGAGAAGTTGTTCCTCTATGAGTAGTCTGTTTTTCCATGTGTCAAGTGAAAAAGTAGCATAGCTCTAAAAGTAACTTTGGAGAGCTCATGTTTGTATTCTCAGCAAGAACACCAAGTGAACCCATGGAAATGAAACATTTATGTGTGTACACGTGTTTCTGAGCTCTTCAGTTGCACTTTGCTGCACCACTGGAGTAAGCTGAAGTCCTTTATAAATAATGTTTTACTGAAGCTTATTTCTGCAGCTTTGACATACCAGGTTTTGTCAGTAATGTTCTATATATTCTTTAGCTCTTGGGAAGGTATAGCACAGTAGCCAAATCCTTGTTGGCAGGATGCAATGAACATGAAATTCTTAATTGATCAAAAATGAGCTTTTGCCTCCGTATTCTTCCATTTTGAATTATGCAGGTAACTTGCTCTTAATGCAGTGAGGTGTCCACATCTCCATGTATGAGTGGCCTAAATTTAATTTAATTTGAGTTTTTGTGTTACTGGAGTAGCTCATGAGAGGTTGGTGCAGCATTAGGGTACTCAAATTGCACCCATATTTTGAACCATTTTGGTGCACATTGTGTTGTCAAGTCTATAAAAGTCCATATGAGGAGTGTCTGCAACAAACAAGTATTTTGAGTTGCCAAAAATCCTACAATTTCAACCCTCTGTTTCCTTTAAAATGTCTAGGAGGCAGAGAAAGGTGTGAAGTTCCTAACACTGCCACCAGTATTACACCTACAGCTCATGAGGTTTATGTATGATCCTCAGACTGACCAAAACATCAAGATAAATGATAGGTAAGTGGGTTGGTTGGTTTAGTGTGTGGGTTGGGTTTTTTGGTAGCACTTAGACCTGTGAATGTATTATAGCAAAAAATAGCTTCCCAAAATCCTGGTTTGACTAAGCTCTGAGGCAGGCATGTGCAGTCACACACAGTGGAGGTGCCCTAAAGGTGCACAGGTTGAACTTTGAAGTTCAGAATGACAAATTGAATGTTTAGTAATCCACAGTGATTGTTTTCACCATGAACAGGTGCCTGCATCTTTTAGTGGCTTGTGTAGCTCCTTTGTGCAGTGTGTGGCTGGGCTGCCCCCAGAGTGAGCAGGATGAGTAAGGAGTTACCTGCTTGCCCTCCATCTGTTTCCATGGATGGAGGGAGAGACATTTGCCCACTCACTGTAAGCAGAGGCTGATAATTTCTTGAGGAGATACAGGGTTGGTTGTAAACCAAATGTTTATTGCAATTATCTCATTCTCACCAAGGTGAGATATTTCTAAGTAATGTTCCAGTCGAGTGGTACCTGTGCTAGGGAAGCTGCATTTGTCTGCTAGACAATAACAGATTTTAAAGCTTTTGCCTTGATGCAGTGAATCCAAACCAGCCCTAATTCAGTTGAAGTGCTCTTGCCCTTGTTACTGAGGGCATGCTTTCCTGTGCTGCTTGAAAAGTTTATTTTTATTCCATTTTTAAACAGTATAAATTCTGCCACTGTGTGCAGTATGTCCTGGTTAGAAGTGGCATTGTAATAGTAACATGTTCAGTTTTTATTCTTTGCTTTAAGGGTACACATAGTGTTCCATAATGGTGCCTAAGAATGTGTGTCTATCTTAACTAAAAATACAACTGTCTCCATTCTTTTTGAAACTAGGTTTGAATTTCCTGAACAGTTGCCACTAGATGAATTTTTGCAAAAAACAGATCCTAAAGATCCTGCAAATTACATTCTCCATGCAGTTCTAGTACACAGTGGAGATAACCATGGTGGACATTATGTTGTTTACTTAAATCCAAAGGGTGATGGCAAAGTGAGTATTGAAAAGCATCTAAAACGATTTGTGTGTTGTAAATGCATACTTGCAGTGTTTATAATGGGCAAATCTTCAGAATTTTCTTTCCCTAAAAGAAGTGTTCATACACACTTAGCTTTTAACAAAAGACTTTTTAGCTGAGGGAATCCCTTCTCTTTTGTGTGTATGTGTTGAAGTTCTGCAATCAGATTTTATCCAGCATTTTTTTGAGGCTGACTTTGCTAAAGCAAATATGAGTATTTGCAGTGTTTCTGTGACTCAGAAGTTCAGCATGTTTGTGTATGTCCCACTGTTCCAGGTTTAGGTGACTTGATTGGATCGGACATTTATAGGTCAGGTGCCTCTTCCCTTGAGGTGACTGGTTTTGTGTGTACATGATTGTTCACAGTAAGAGTAGAAGTCAGATTTTACTGTGAATTTATTGCTATTTGTAATTGATTCTTAATTGGCTTTATTGTTTTAATTTGAAATTTGATGCATATTGCTCTTAATGTACAAATAATTACTGGTTGTCTTGTGCATCTCTGCTTTTTATTTCATTTTACAACAGATAAAGTAGATTTATGTTTCCTTCAGAAATATTAGATATTTGAAGTCTTAAGAAAAGCTTCTTGGAATAATTATTGTGCTTTTGGTGCTCACTGTAAAATGTTCAGTAAAGGTTTAGTATTTATGGACTTCCTTATGCTGAGCACAAGTAGCAGGTAGCACAAATCATACTGAACTAGATTTCCTTTTAAAAGTCACGCCGCTCGAAGGTAATTTTAGTTACTTCAAAGAGTTGAAAGACATGCCAGAAATAGGATTAATTTATCATTCAGGAGCATGTTTTTACGTGTAAAATCACCTTTCTGTCAAACTGCCTCCCTAGTGGTGTAAATTCGATGACGACGTTGTGTCGAGGTGCACGAAGGAGGAGGCGATCGAGCACAACTACGGCGGCCACGACGACGACCTGTCCGTGCGGCACTGCACCAACGCCTACATGCTGGTCTACATCAGGGAGTCCAAGCTCAGTACGTGTCCTCTCTGCTCAAAGGGCACTGGCAGGCAGGGCTGCTGTTCTTCTGATAGTTGGCTGTGTTCCTGCACAACAGGGCTGCCTTATTTACAGTGGGAATGCAGCAATCCCGCAGGATCAACCTGCCGCTCTCTCACTCGTGGAGAGTGTGTGCTGCTCTGGGTCAGCTTTAGCTCAGGAAGGCACCTGCAAAGAGCTTCAACCTTTCCTGCTTTAGAGGATGGAAAACTTAGTGAGCTGGCTTGGGTAATGGAATGCTGCCACATTTCTCTTCACAGAGAAAAGCAAGGCACAGTTCTTCCCAAGGATTTCTGAGATTCACATTCTCTGAAGCACAGTTCTTATCTCTTGCTGTGCCTGTGTTGTGCCAAAGTAGAATGCAATATGGAGATTGTCTGTCCAAAGTGAGGATGTTTTGTTTCCTTGTCCTGTCGGGGCCAACTGTGTGTGTCAGGACTGTCGACGAAAGTCACGAGATTCAGTGCAGTGTCAGTGCTTGGCAGATTCAGTTTAGATGAAATGTATATAGTATAGTATAATAAAGTAATTAATTAGCCTTCTGATGATGGAATCAGATGCATCATTCTCTCCCCTTCATTGGAGTTGCCTTTGATTTACTGATTTTTTGATTAATGGAATTAAATCAAATTGAATGTAAACGTGTAGATACAGATGTGCTTTAAAAAGGGAGTGGTGGCAAATATTTTTTTAATTCTGAACTGAATATTTCATTCAAAAGTCTGTGATACATATTTCATGGGAGTAGTGCACTTTGGTTTGTTGTAGAAGTGCTTCTTTTGCCAAAGCATGATGATATCAAACCTTGTTTTTAAGTGAAAGATGAAGAAAGTTTGTTTTGACTTCAAATCAGAGGGAAGTCAAGCGTGTGTGAAAAAGAAACTGTTTGATGTAAATCTTGAAATAACATCATAAAATCTGCTTTATAGGTGAAGTTTTGCAGCCTGTAACCGACCATGATATTCCTCAACAACTTGTAGAAAGGCTACAAGAAGAGAAGAGGATAGAAGCTCAGAAGAGGAAGGAGAGGCAGGAAGCTCACCTCTATATGCAAGTGCAGGTCAGCTTTTGAAACAGATTAAGTTACAGCTACTTTACCATGAAAATTTAGGCTATTGAGCCACCCTGGAGGCAAACCTTGATTTTCTTTTTTTTTCTTTTTTTTTTCTTTTTTTAAATTTTTCTTCTGAAGTAGTGTTTGAAGAGAAATTATAATTTTAGTACTTTTAGGTATATTTACATATGCAACGAATTGTAATAAAACACACAGTACTGTATGTTCTAAACATTTCTGTTTTCTTTAGAATTTATTGTGTTTGTGAGTAAAAATAGTAGGTTCAGGTGAAAGGGAAAAGGACCACGTTATTTCCAATGGCTGCCCTGCCCACTGCACTTTTATCTCCTTCAGGAATTATTTTCTAAAATTAGAATGTATCTAGCCATAGACTGCAGGTCTGGACTATTGCCAAACAGAGCTCATCAAGTAGAAGCAGGAGGAGAGAGTGCTTATATTTGCAATTATCTTTTTGGAAAAGCCAGATGGACAAGATTGTTATGAATTGCCTTAAGGAACCCTGTTTATGGCTCTTTCCAGAGCCCATCTGGCACAGGGAAATAGAACCCATTTTCCACGTGTCTCCATATTTCCTTGCCTGTTCTCTGTGGTGCTGATAAGCAGAGATACTGGTGAAGTCCAGCTTGTTCTGCCCTGCATTTGCACTGAGTTTGCAGTGGGACACTGGCAGCATTGCACTGTTTGTGCTTCTGTTACCAGAGAGTGCAGGGGAGCTGTGGGAAATACAGGGAGAGGGTTCAGTGGCCTCCTGGCATTCAGCAGTCACAGAATTATGTAGCCTTTTCATTTTCTCCAAGTGCCAAGATTGTTAGAGCACGTTCCAAGACTTGGGATCTAAGCACAACTGGTTTTTAATTGCTCGGGCTTTGTAAGAATTAATGTATTTTAATTACTTGCACTGATGAGATTATCAATCACGATTTTTTAATTTCATTGTAATCTGTGTTCTTGCAAATTTGCTCCCTGAGAACATGAGTTGTGTTAGCACTGTGCCAGAGGGCCAGTGAGGTTGCATAGTAAAGCATCCTGAGAAGGTATTACCTGGGCTAGTCTGAAAAGTAACCTTTAAATGTCATTTTTCAGATAGTGGCAGAGGATCAGTTCTGTGGTCACCAAGGCAATGATATGTATGATGAAGAAAAAGTGAAGTACACTGTTTTCAAAGTATTAAAAAACTCCACACTTACAGAATTTGTTCAAAACCTCTCTCAAACAATGGTGAGTTTTCTGCAGCTGAATACCTGCATGTATTTATTTTGTTACATTATGGTTGTGCTCTAGCTCTTACCTTCTCCACATATTGACAGCAATCATAATTTAGAGCTCTTAACACACAAGATCTGTTTGACTTTCGTGAAAACATCTTAGCCTATTTTTCTCTTGTTTTCATTCAGTTTCCTATCACAATTTTTATTTATTTTAGGGATTTCCCCAGGATCAAATCAGATTATGGCCAATGCAAGCTAGAAGTAATGGAACAAAAAGACCTGCAATGTTAGATAATGAAGCAGATGGCAATAAAACGGTAAGCAGTCACTGAGAGATGATAGTACTTCTTACATCTCCTGTGATTCTTAGCTCTCTTGAAGAATATCTAACTTTGAGGCATAAGATTTTTCAGGCTTTTGATTTGAAATTAATTTCATTGTATCTGGTGAAGTTTGATACTTGGGGAAGACTTGGTGTTTAGTGGATTAGTTTGGATAAGAAGCAGGAGTGTGGTTGGTGCATGATTTTTCTGCTGTGGAAAAAAAAGGTGTAATCATGATTTCTTATGTCAGATTAAAACAGAAATGTCCCTTTGACAAAAGGGGCAAACCCTCTGGATTTAATGAATTCTGTTGCTTAAAATGTAAAATGTGTCTAGATGCTACAGGATGGTTTCACCTTCATTTTATTCTAAAATTAAGTCGTGTCCTTGCCATTGTAAAGATAGCTGTAGGTAAACTTGTGAAAGATAAAGAAGTGGGTTCATTTTAAGTAAGAATGTTACTGCTTCATCAAAGTTTTTGGTGGTTTTATATCCATATTTGTTTGTCTTAATAAATTTCATGAACTTCCTTTAACACAACTTAAAAAAAACCCTCTCCCATTTGTCCAGTGTCATAAAGTTCTTGTATCTGACTAAAATGCTGATACCAGGTTGTATTAGGTTCTTCAGAGAGGTTTTTTCTTCTCTCTTTTTACATAGATGATTGAGCTCAGTGACAATGAGAATCCATGGACAATATTTTTGGAAACAGTAGATCCAGAGATGGCTGCTACTGGAGCAACATTACCCAAATTTGATAAAGATCGTAAGCATGCGGGCTAAACCTTTCTAAATACAAAATACTTTCATTTTGGGTGTATCTCCAAAAACACTGTGCACCATTTTTTTCAACAATGTCGTTGATGTATCCATCAAACTACTACAGGGCTGAAATTAGTTTTTCTCATGCAGTTTCTCCCTCATTTCTCTTGGAGTAGAAGGCGTGCTTTGCATGTTTTTAGACTCACTGAATAAATTTCTCTCTATATTTTAAGGACACTGAATTAATAAAGACCTATGTTTTGTTACTGTGTAAATAAAAATATCTAGGTGATCTCCTTCCCCCTCCCCAAGCCTTACTTGAAATTAAATCTTGTTTTTTTACTTTGTAGATGATGTAATGTTGTTTTTGAAGATGTATGATCCGAAAACTCGGAGTTTGAATTATTGTGGACATATCTACACCCCTATATCCTGTAAAATACGTGAGTTCTGAATTTCAATTTCATTGTGATCATTGAAGTTTTTCAAGTAGATTGACACATACTTTTCCTTTAATAATAATTCCCTTACTGAAACCAAAGGTACACCACAGAAGCAAATTCTTATTTCACCCAGCACTTGAGAGTTTTCTTCCCCATGTGGTGTCAGTGACATTTTCTGCAGGTCTGAGCCTGAAAACCCCACAGGTGGTCAGTCCATTGCTGCTGCACTCACCAGGCGTTACAGCTGTTTCAGACCTGTTGCAAAGCTTTGGGATGTGATATTTCCCTCCCCATAGCTTTTCTTTAACCTTTCACTATGGCAGCCTGAGCAGCTGCTCAGCCTGAATTACATGTGAGCCTTGATTTTCATATGGATCCATTTAAGGAATTCAGCAAATACCCACTGACTAAAAATATTTTAGTTTTTTGTTTTGAATGTCTCATTTGTTAACTTATACATATTTTTAAATTTTGTATTTTAGCTGTCTTTTTCTTTTTAAAGATATTAAACCTTTTTTTCTGAGGAAGGAGCAGTGCTGTTTAATCTCTTGGATTTTCAGTGAACTTGCACATATTTTTGTGGCTCAGATGAAGTGGAAAGGAACCATAAATGGGTGGTTGAATGTCAACAAGGTGTGGAAACTTAGGTGTGGAAAGCTCTTTCTTAGGCATTGTAGAACCATCTACCCAGGGTAAAGAAAGGGATTCTCTCCTTTCTGTGGTTGGTCTCACTAGCAATTAGTGCAACACATTTCACATTCCTTCTTTTTTCTCCAACAGGTGACTTGCTTCCAGTTATGTGTGAGAGAGCAGGATTTCCACAAGAAACTAACCTTATCCTCTATGAGGTTTGGATTGATAAACTTTTTGTAACTTTTTTGTCTTTTGCATGCTATAAAGAAAAAAACATAATTTAAAAAAGTTGCTCATAACAATAGTAATTTATAAATTATCAGCACTGTAGTCTGTAACTTTGAAGTCTACAGTGCTGCAAAAGAGTAGCAGCAGAGAGTTAAATTCAAAACAGATTTTATATTAAACAGATAAAAGTGTAAAGCTTTAAACCCAAAAACTGTCTCCATGAGGGTCCTATATGAGCAGCTTTGTTGTGCTAAACCTGTGTTGCTGAGTTAGAGGAGCTGGTGCTGCTTTCATTATTGGCCATTGTGTTTTCAGTTCCCACCTTAGTGAAGATGAGAAAATGTTGCTTCTCCTTCCTTCCCCAAGCCAAAATCAGGAAACAAAATCCTGTCTGCTAGTCTGTTTCTGCCCAAATACACAAGCAGTGACTCTTCAAAACTGCTACATTTATTGAGTGCTGATGATGCAGATCTTGCCAAGGCCAAGTCCTTGCTAGAGTAAGAACAAGGAATTTGGTTTTTGCTGCAGTTTCTGGTAGCAGTCCTGCTGCTCTCTCTGGTGGTGCCAGGGCAGCACACACAGTGCTGTCCTAAAAAGCAAAGCTGTACTTGTTCTGGGCAGGCCAAGGTTACAGTGCCATTCCAGTTTGTTTGCACAGGTGCTTTTATCCCTGGGTCAGCCCAGAGGTCAGCCTGCAAGTATAAATATGTAATATGCATATAGATATTTAATAACACATGCATTGGATTTGAATAGATACGTATCTATCCATTTGTTTCAGTTGAAAGAATGTACAGGTTACCTTAGCTGATGAGTTCTTCAGTATTGTGACTTATTTGTGACATTTACTTGTGTCTTGTATTTTGTGATCAATAATTTTTGTTCTTTGTTGCAGGAAGTTAAACCCAATTTAACAGAAAGGATTCAAGACTATGATGTATCTCTTGATAAAGCTCTCGATGAACTCATGGATGGTGACATCATAGTGTTTCAGAAGTAGGTATTTTATGGGGGCACCTTATTGCAATCTTATCACCTGGTTTTTGAAAACTGAACTTTCTTTAAGCTCTTTTATCAAGAGTTAAGTATTACATTCCAATAGTAGATGTGTTCTGCAGTTCTCATTTGTTTATTCAAAGGGGAAATGAGCAAATATCAGTGCTATTTGAGTATCATGTGCCATATTACTTGAGGTGTCCTCCTAGTTTGGAAAACCAGTAACCTAAAATAGCTCATAATATTACCAGAGTGTGTTCAGCAGTGCATCTGATTTGTGCAGCTTTGTACTGGAGCCACTGTAACACAGACACTGAAGAGCCTTCCAGCATTTCAGATACCACCAGACAAGGCTCTTGGAGCTCTTTCAGCCCAGAACTACACTGAACTGCTTTCCCTTTTTGCCTCTCCCTTGTGCTCACAGTCAGGTCCCTACCGGTCTGCAGTGGTGAGATGCTCCCAGTTTACCTGAGCACGTGCCACTCATAGGTGTACTGGTGCTTCAGCTGGAGATTTCTCCAAGGCAAAAGGGGAGCTCCTGCATCTTGTGTCCAATGAAGGGATCTTTCATAAGCTTGGCAGGGCTATAAATCAGCATTTCTATGCTCTCACTCCTGATGGTCACACCCAACTGTGTTGCTCTGTTTCTCTCCATGGGCTGACAGTGGGTGGAAGCCAGCTAGTCTATCTTCAGCACTCTTACCCCAGATTATGTGAGATGAATGTATTTCTCATGTCATGCCTTGGAACTTGCAGTCCCAGTTGACCCAGTTGGTGTTATGCACCCTTGGCTGGCTGCTGACTCCTGGGTAAGTGCACAGCTTGTACCCTGGTGCTATTTCTCTGCAGAGAAGTTGGGGTACCAGTCAGGAGTGACCCAAACCAGCCCCTGTGCCCACTGCTCTGCCTCTGTGTGCCAGGGAATGCCGTCCTTCGGTCCTCTGTGCAAAGTGACCGATACAGGGGCTCAGGGAAAGCTGTGCAGCATTAGTACAGACACACAGGGGTGCCAGGGTGGGAGGGAGGGCCAGCTCCTGCTGCAGTGCTGCTGTGAACCCCCAGGAGCCCAGCAGAGCAGGCGAGGGCTGCAGCACACAGCCACGGCGGGCTCTGGGTCACTGCTGACTGCACCAGTCCTACTGTGTGCCACTGGTGGCTCTTGCAGAAGGTTTCCAAATTTCACCTCTGTGTCTCTCCACTGCTGCTGACTCACTGTAGAACATGTTCTTAAAGCCCCAACTGCCTGTGTGTGTAACAATGTGATGTGTAATGGTATCACCATTTGTTTGCTCTTGTAGGGATGACCCAGAAAACGATAACAGTGAGCTCCCCACAGCTAAGGAATACTTCAGAGACCTCTATCACCGTGTGGATGTCATTTTCTGTGACAAAACCATCCCCAACGACCCAGGCTTTGTTGTTACTTTATCCAATAGGATGAATTACTTTCAGGCATGTCTCCTGTTTCTCTTTTGTTTCCTTGTTTGGGAAGTAACTTTTGCACTAGCTCATTATACATACTTTTCGAAAAGTTCTTAAACTATCAGCGTACATTATTTGCATTGTGTAGATTTCATTTTAAATGAAAAATTTAAGGAAGCCACTAAGGCTTGTGGGAAGAAAATACTATCAACTCCTCAGTTTTATTAATAATGAGTTATTTGATAATTGGTTTCTTTCTTTGTAGACCATTCTGCTCTGTCAGGGAAATTATAGTCTCATGAAATAATGACTGTATGATGTAGAGCAATGTCATAACTGTGTGAAACAATTCAGAACTTACCAAAATTTATTTTCAGGTTGCAAAGACAGTCGCTCAGAGACTTAACACGGATCCAATGCTATTACAATTTTTCAAGTCCCAAGGGTAAGTAAGACAAATTCCTTAGTATTCTGTGTCTAAGCTGCTCCTCAAAACTTAGCCTTTTCCAGGTCATTAACTAATTCTGTACCAGTAAGATGTTACCTTTCTGGCAAGCACAGCAGGTTGCTTTGACAGTTGAAGTATTGCAATGTCTGTCTCTAGAGCCTCAAAGAATTGCATGTTTTAGAAGAGTTCTAGTAAATGTCATTTTAAAAATCATTAATTACTTCAAAGCCTGATGCTGTGGGATAAATTGCTAAGCTAATTCAAGTGCTGTTCCAGTGAATGCAGATTTCTAGAATGGAGGAGAGCAGAAACAAATGCACATAAAAGCAGTATTTTTGCTGATTTTACAAGTTTAAATGCAGGAGTTACTTCACTGAATTCTCCCCTCCTCCCTCAAAGTCTGCAAATGAGGTTTTATGAAGATGATGATAATCTAACAAGTTCTCAGGTGCTCAAAGAGATATTTCTGGTTAAAGGGTGGTTTTACATATGTTTGTGTAAAACTAGACTTGAATCTGTATGAAACTAGAGCAGAAAGTAGTGTACATAGCTCTGTGTGTGTGCTTCAGGAATAATGCACATACACTTAGAGCTTTCTGTATTCATGGAAGTGTAAATGCTCTTTAGTTACCTGAGGCTATCTCCCTTCATCATCAGTGAGAATTTGAGTAGCTCTTTGTAGTTTGCAGTGCTGTGGTCACTGTGGAATTTGCTGTGTCATATGGCTCCACAAATTAACCTTTCACAATCTAGAGCATGTGCTGCTATGCCAGTAATTTCAGAGGAATGCAGATCTGCCAGCCTGCAGCACTGACATCAGTGAGCTTGTAAACATGCAGGAGAGTTAACACACACCCTGAATGGTTTTCTGTTCCCACAGCCAGGCTGTGTTTAAAAATCATTAAAGTTCTGTGTGTTGTGCTGCTTAGGCTGTGTTAGCAATTATGTGAAATTGGAAGACAGTCATAAAAATCTTCTTGGTGCTTCAATTTGCTGAGCAGTAATGGATTTTGAAGAGATGGATTTTAAGAACATGTTTTCTTTCTTTCTGTAGTTATAGGGATGGCCCTGGTAATCCTCTTAGACATAATTATGAAGGTACTTTAAGAGATCTTCTGCAGTTCTTCAAGCCTAGGCAACCGAAAAAACTCTACTATCAACAGGTAAGAGTCTTCTCTTTTTGTTGGGGTGAGTTATAAAAATAATTCTGCCCTATTCAAAGTATGCCTAAAGTGTTTTTCTTTTATTTCTTTAGCTCAAAATGAAGATAACTGATTTTGAAAACAGAAGAAGTTTTAAGTGCATATGGCTAAATAGCCAGTTTAGGGAAGAGGTGAGTGAAGCCATTACACACTTGCTGTCATTTATGTGTCAGAGCTAGAATGGCTGTGGTTATGGGTCTACCTCTGAGTGGCCCCTGAGAATTAGAACAAAGTTTTACATGTTGTAAAAAAAACCCTAACAAACCAACAGCAAAAAAAAACCCCAAAGTGCACAAAAAATGTAAAAAAAAAAAAAAAATCAGATCTCTTAACAAAAATGTTAAAGATAACATAGGTGTTGACTTCAGGTATCTTTTCAAGATGAGTGGTTAGGGAGAACAGTCTGCTGTGTTCTGTGCTTTAATGTGGTTGTTTACTTTTTCAGATTTTCTAATGATTTTTGTGTTTCAAATTCCACAGGAAATAACAGTATATCCAGATAAGCATGGGTGTGTGCGGGACCTGTTAGAAGAATGTAAAAAAGTTGTAGAACTCTCTGAAAAAGGTTCAGGGAAATTAAGGTAAAGCTGGAAGACTCTGATTTCTCCTATGTGATCATGTAGATTTTATGCAGCAAAGTATCTGTAGAATTTAAAATATTGTAGATACCATTATTAACAGATTAAATGTAATATTGTGTTAAAATCTTCCAGATTGCCACTGTTAAGAGTTCTTCTTAGCTATAAATATAATTTTTACACAGTTTTTTGTTTTGCGTTTTACATCCTTGAGTTTCATCAATTGCATTTGTTAGTCATGACTTAATTGTTTCAAATCCAAGCATTTCATGCTATTCACTTCTCAGGAGTTACAGGGGTTAGAAGTGAGGTCATTTAAAGAGGATATCTAAAATAATCTCCACTAGAAACCTATATTTTGTAATGGCACATCCTGGCTTTTTGCCATGAGCCAGAAATAATTTACCCTCTCATGGCTTTAATGCTTAATTTTTACTAAAGATTGAATTCAGAATTTTATAAATACAATAGCAGCATCAGTTTACATTCTACACTAATCTCTCTCAAGATTTGAGAAAGAAATGCTGCATTGAAATCTTAAATTTCACTTTTTAAAAATACTTTTCTGTTTATCTTTAAGGCTGCTAGAAATTGTAAGTTACAAAATAATTGGTGTCCATCAGGAGGATGAGCTGTTAGAGTGTTTGTCACCTGCAACAAGTCGAACGTTTCGAATAGAGGTAAGTTGTGCTTGTCTTAGAGAACTTTAAAACCTGACTTAGAGAGAAAACTTTCAGCTGGTAATTTTCTGGGTGCTGACCTTCAAATACTGTGATTTTGTGTTAAGATTACATGATAATATTATATGTATTTTTTAAGATAATGCTTTTAAAAAGATTGTCCTTTGTTCCATCTGTTTCCCTACAATGGTTTCATTATTTCATTTTTATAAATGTTTCTATAACAATACTGAAGACTTTGCAAGAGCCTGTCCAAAGGACATTGAATGTCTTGGCAGTAATTCCAAGGTTTGTTTGAGAGTTCATGATAGAAGTGTTTATACTTAGAACTCACTTTTGTACTGTAATATTCTAGAAAGTTTTGTTTCCTTTTCTGTTACACTTGAGTTTCTTGAAGCAAATTTGATACTTAACATGTGATCTTTTTTTTTAAACATCTCATCATTTAGATCTACTAACTTGCTTCAAAGATCAGAAATGAAAAAAAAAAGTTTCCAGTGTAAACTGTAATGAGGAGCTGGCAAGAGGCCTGGGTTACTGTCAGCTAGTTCTGCACTGATAGAAGATTTCTTGTCAAAAAAGCCATTCAGGGAAGCCAGGAGAATATTTCCTGAGTAGGGGAAGCTGAAGTGCTGTCATGCCAGGGATGAGGGACTCTGCTAAAAGACTCTGTCAAACAACATGGCTCTTTTAATTGTTTTTGAATAGAATTGTTTGGAATCAGTAACAGTACATCAGTAATGCTTAATAACTAGAAAAATAACTTCAAAGCATTCGTTTCTTTTTGTGGAAGCTTACTGATTGGAGTCACAATTCTCTGTCTGGATCTAGGAAATTCCTCTGGACCAGGTAGATATAGATAAAGAAAATGAGATGCTAATCACAGTGGCACATTTCCACAAAGAGGTTTTCGGGACATTTGGAATTCCCTTCTTGCTGAGGATACACCAGGTGCAGTATGGCTTCCTTTTTCTTCCTGTGGGATTGTACTGATGATTTTTGCTTTAAGTACTGTTGAAGAAATGCATTAATGTAGGAAGTGAGTAGGAAAATACTCTAAAAGGTTCTAAAAAGGTTCTGCCCAATCTGTGCCTTTTTATGGTTCAGCCATTTCCCAGCTCAGTTCCTTTTGCATACCCAGGTTGTTCAGTGTTTCAGGGAGCCTGTGAACACCATGAAAGCTGTCACTTGGCAGCAGCTGCCATCCCCTGCCCCCTGCAGAACCCCCCAACAAACCAGAACCCTATTTCCAGCAGCACTTGAGTAACTGCAGTGCAGAGTTGTTGGCAAAAGTGGCCCTGCCTTGGTTGCTCTCACTGAGACAGGGTTATGGAAAATGGGGTTGCTTTCTCCATCACTCTCTGAGATGACTTTGCATTTCATCCCTTCTGCAATTTGATGTGCTTTATCTTCCAGGGCTGAAAGTTGGTACAAGAACAAAAGCTAATTTTGAAAGCTTAATTTAAATTCTCAAGTTTTTCCTGTGGTGCTGCTCCAGCTGAATGTCACCCTGATTCTCTTAATATCAAAGTGTATTTCTGGGAGCAGTTACCATTTCCTTCTAAGCTTTTTCTGGTTCATATATGTTACTTTGTATGAAAATTACCTACTTTAAAATTTTGGGAATGAGAAATGTGTCCATATTTCTCTACCTCTAAAATTATCATTTTACTGATTTCCATATTTTTGATCAAAGAATAACACTTGTTTGGTGATTTCTGGTGAAAACCATTTGTTCTGCATTTCCTTGTTACGACAGTTAATATATTTTATTCACCTTTAAGTTGACAGTATCTGTCACTTTTTTGGTCACTTTACATAGACAGGGAGCAGGAACATAGTACAAAAAGTGGCAACAAACTTAGCAAGAATATGGGGGTTTTTTTACAAATTCCTATTTTTCTGCTAATTTTCTGATTTTACTATTTAACTTTAACCTGACTTGCACATATCAGTGGCAGTGCCTGAGCAATTTATGGGCCAGTTTGCATAATGATAAATCAATAAGACTTTAAGTTCCTGAATGTAGAGCAAGTTGCCTGCTGTTGTTCCATATTGTAGAGAATGATGTTGACACTTGTATAATTTTGTAAATAACAGAGACATTGAGGGAATCTATTTCAATGAAGCTTAAAGCAGGAAATATTAACAGCTTCCCTTTTTCCCAGATTTTTTTGACATGAAAAATCTTGTTGTAATTATTAGGGTGAACACTTCAGAGAGGTTATGAAGCGGATTCAGACAATGCTGGACATACAAGAAAAAGAATTTGAGAAGGTAATTTCAAAATGGGAGAGTTTTTATTGCTGACTGTAAACCCTAAATGAGTTTATTGTAGTAGGTTGGAACACCCCAGCCTTGGGATAAGTGTTGATTTTGTGTGATAGAACAGCTGCTTGACTGAAATAATGCTTTTTCTAGGACTAATTAGTTAGAATGGGTAGGATCAGTATTTCTGTACTGCATCAAGAGAGATATTCTGCAAAGCAAAGTAACCCAGAAAAGTGTAGCTGGTGTGGGACCTTTAGGGGCCACCCCCACATCACGTTGCTGTTCAGAGCAGAACGTGACTCAGTCAGGTTCTGCAGGGATTTTTAGTTGCAATTTGCAAACTCCCAAGGGTGGGAATTCTGCCCTGTTCTGGACACTGTGTTTTAGAGTATTTCCACTATCACTGGGAAGTTTTTGCTTTCCTTGCACATAATCAGTGTGTTTCATTTTGCAACTTGTGGAGGTCGTCTCTGTGCAGTTTTTTGAGAAGAGGCTTCTCCTGTGCACCATCCTTCAGGTGGTGGAAAACTACAGATACCCTGTCAGCCTTTTCTTCTCTGGGCTGAGCAGAACCCATTTCCCAGAGGTTCCTGAATGCCAGGTCCCCCTTAGTCCTCTCACAGCCTCCCTGGACTGTTGTGCACTTGCTGCAGTTTGTTGCTCTTTTTCCCTGGAGGGCCTGAACCTGGACACAGTAGTCCAGGATGTGGGTTCATGATTTCCTGAGCATTTATTTTGTCCCATTATCCAGGTTGTTGATGAGGGTTTTAACCAGGATTGGCCATTTTCAATTCCTGAAGTTGAAAGTTAGAAGTTGAAGTTACAAGTTTTCTACTTATAACCAGCTGAAAGTCAGACTGTGAACTTAGGCTTGAAGGCTTAATTTTGGTGTCATATCCTACCATTTGGATTTTGATTTTTTTTTTTTCTTTGCATAGTTTAAATTTGCCATTGTAATGATGGGCCGACACCAGTATCTCAACGAAGATGAGTATGAAGTGAACTTGAAAGATTTTGAGTCCCAACCTGGTAAGTTTGTTAGACAACCTCACTTTTCTTTTGGCCTGCTGAAGCTGCTCTGCCAATTATTATGTGTTTATCCTTAGCTCAGGATGCAGAAAGAGTTTGTTCTTTCTGCATGACATACATTAGATGTAGTGACCAAGCAAGTATTTATATACACCAGTGTGCACACTGAGCACTGGTGAAGGCATGAATGTGTTAGTCCAAGAAAATGTATTTTCTGGGCATATAGATAAATAATCTATTTCCTTTTGAGTTCAAAGATTGCATGTGAATGACCAAATGGGTCCAGTGTCAGTATAACACACTTGACAGCATCAGTTGCACCTTGTCTTTATTGTCCATCTACCCCCTTGCATATTTGATTCTTGTTTGTTCTTCATATCCTCAATGAATCTGAAGATTCTAACAAGAACATTAAATATGTCAATTAGATGCTGTTTAAATTTTTTTTTCCATAAGAAATGAGTCACCAAGGTACAAATTCAGCTCCATTCTAAATTTGTCTCTGGATGGGCTGCTACCTTGTTTACTTGACTGACATTTAAACCTTTGTTTTCTTAGACATTTACACATGGGAGAAACCAGGTTAATCCTCCAGGAGTTCCACCACAGGAGTGTTTTCATAGCCATAGCATGGGTTGGGCTGGGAGGTGCCTTAAAGATCATCCCATTCCAGCCTGCTGCCATGGTGCCACACATCAGACCAGTCACTCAGGGCCCCATCAAACCTGGCCTTGGACACTTCCAGGGCTGGGACAGCTGCAGCTCCTCTGGGCCACCTGCAGCAGTGCTTCTAAATCCAAATCTCTCCTTTTCCTCTTTGGAGAGTTCTGTTTGGGAATGGCACCTTTGCCTCCACAGTCAGGGATCCATTGAAACCCTTGAATTCATTGGGGTTTCTTTTTCCAGCTTAGCTGAGTGTTCCTCTCTGTGAGTTGCACTGACTCTCTGCAGTTCTATTTTTCTAACAATTAGGAATGCTAATTTTTATTGGTAGGTTTTGCTAGGATCAAGCTTTCTCCAGTTTTTCCCAGCTGTGCTCTGGATTGATGTAACAGCTGTAAAGAAATCCTGTAACTGTCCATTTATTTCAAAATCTGCAGAGAGTTAATACTTGCAGGAGCCTAGCAAACAATCCTTTTGTTGTGTGGGTAGCACAGATAGGCTTTGGCTTGCCAGAGCTGTGAGTGCACAAGTCACCCCAGAGCCCAGGAGTGTCACAGTCACCTCTGGGCCCTACTGGTGGGGGGTCTCTGGATGGTCAGCTTGGAGGTGGGCATTTCTCCACAGACAGATCCAGGCAGAGTCCTGATTTTATGCTGGGAGTCATCCCTGTCATCCCTCATGGGTCAGGGAGGGCAAGGCAATAGTCTGCAATGAACTGCTGGGCTTGGTGAGCAAGGCAGAGCCAGTGGTGCCAAAACAGCTTGAAAAACCAACCAGGTGACCAGGTCAAAGGCACAGAATGTGGAGAAGGGAGAAATTGAACTGTTTGTAGGAGTTACAGGGAATGTGAGAGCAAAAGGTTTTAATTTGAGAGTTCATGGAATTCACCCCTGTGATAGAATATACTTGGATAGAAATCATTTCTACAAATGCCAAATTTTAGCACACACTGGAGTGATGGAACCAAAGCTGGGGCATTGCACAGTTTGATTGGCACAGCTGATGTCAGTAGTGTCCCTCTGCTGTTGCCAAGGTACATCACTATAGCTACATGACCAACCATGTAGGATATAATTTCTTTCTTCAGAAACATTCAAATTCTCTCACTAAGACTGCCAGTTGTCTTTTAATTTGATATTGACCATTATGTCAGACAAGAAAAAAAAACCAAAATAATTTTGATTGAAGAAAATATATCACAAAATGCAGATGCAGGCAGCCAACAAGGTCACATGTTTTATGCTTTAGTGGTTGCAGCTGATGGCTTTGAATGTAGAATGTACTTTCCTTGCTGGGGGCCTCTTTAGTTTCTGCCCTTATCATTTCACTTCAAAGAACATTGGATGCTCTGCATTGAGAACATCTTAAAAGAGAATTTCTCCCATTTGCAATAAAAGTATGTGGACTGTGGTTTTTCATTAAAATTAGCAGTAGAATAAATAATATTGGGTTGAACAAATGAAAAAAAATCTGTATGTTTTCTTTGCAATCTGAGTGACTAAGGTTTTTTCTTAGAAAATAAAGAGGAGGGTCAGTTTCATGATTTCTTAATTAGCATTATTTACATTTTACATGAATTAAACCGATATTCCCAGTTAAACCAGGTGATAGGGATAGCAGAGATTATGGCAAATACTGTTGGTTGTCATGTTTCAGTGGCAGATCCTCCCTGTTTGAAACAGGCCCAGCACTTTGGGGAAAGCTGGTACTGTGATGTGCCTCTGGCCATAGCAGTGGTTATCTTGCTTTAGCACAGCCTTCACTGCTGTGAAGTCCTGTAGGTGACTGAAGGAGACAAAAAGCAGGGACCTGCTGCAGAAGGAGCTGTGAATGTGCTGCTGGAAGGAAAACCCTGCCCCTCTGGCTGTGGGGCTGCTCTGCCCTCTCTGATTCCCAGCACACTGTGGGCAGGGCACACAGCACTAGGTTGGGTAATGGAAACATTTTTCCAATTTATTCTTTAAACTTCATTTTTTTTTTCTCTTTTCTTTTCTAGGCAACATGTCTCATCCAAGGCCATGGCTAGGGCTTGACCATTTCAATAAAGCCCCAAAGAGAAGTCGCTACACTTACCTTGAAAAAGCTATTAAAATCCATAACTGACTTACTTAACCAGATTGTCAAGGCAAGGGACAAAAATAAGTGTGTGTGTGCACCTTTTTAACAACTGTAGAACTTTGGTACACGTGCACTATATCTGAAGTCTTCAGCAAGAGGATTTGCTGCTGATGTTAATTTTATTTTGTTGAGGCTGTTCAGTTTGGCTTCTCTGTATCTATTGACTGCCCTTTTTGAGCAAAATGAAGGTGTTTTTATAAAAGCTTGGATGCCAATGAGAGTTATTTTATGGTAAACGTAATGCAAGGCAATTGTCAGCATAATGAGGGAAGAGTTTAGTAGAACAGTTGACATTGGCAAAATTATTTGTCTGTAGTACGTTTATAGATGGCATAAGCTGACTGGCTGCCCTTCCCATGTGGTGTTCACCATCACTGCAGCTAGTAAGTCTTATGTTTAGACTCACATCAGATTTATTTCCTTCAGTTATACTTTAAATGACATTTTTGTGCATTTGTAAATGCAAAAGAAAAACTCACATCATCAATAAATAGCAATCTCTACTTTATTGTGTACATTGTTGGCACTTATTCGGGATTTTTGTCTCCTCCAGCTTCATAGAATCTTTTTTAATAAACTAGTTTTCATTTAATTTAGTCAATACTTTGCATCCCGTTTTACCAAGTGGATGCCCCGAGTCCTAAAAAGAGATATTTGGGTCTTTTTATGAAATTTCCAACCACTGAGAAATACTGTTGCAATTGATTATGCCATCTCCTGGCAAATAGAATGACACTCAAAAGTTGGCAGAAGCAAGTGAAAAGATTATAAATATCATTAATTTAGTTACCATGGGAAGAGATGGGGAAAACACAAGAACTAGCCTTTTAGCACAGAGGGCATGCTCACTAGTGTTTAGTAAGCTGTTGACTTTGTATAAAAAAGGAGGAAAAAAAAACGAAAAAAGAAGAAAAAAAACCGAAAAAAGCAATTGTATATTTAATGAATGAACATGTACAATTTAACACTTGGAGGTTAATTTTATTGGGTGAGTCTGCAAGTGAATTTCACTGATGTTGATATTCATTGTGTGTAGTTTTATTTCAGTCCCCAGACTGCTTCCTTTTCTTTGGAGCTAATGCCAGCCGCGTGTCTAGTTTTGAGTGCAGTAAAGATAGAATCAGCAATTCACACTTAATTTTACATTCTTTTCCAGTATTTTATTTTGTTTCTGTAGCCGCAGTGTACAACTCCTCTTCCTGTATATTGCCTTTTTTTGCTGGAAAATGTTGTATGTTGAATAAAATTTTCTATAAAATTTTTTTTGATGAGTGATGACATGGACATTGAAGAAGATTTCTCCTCTCCTTGGAAATAGAGTTTTGGGAAATGTTTTCATTCATGAGATTTTGCTAAACGTGTGGTTTTCTTTTTCCTTAAGTGTTGACAATTGTATAATCCTCATTCATTGTTTTGGGGGAACTTTGTGGGGGTTTCTGTTTAATAGTTTTGGGGTTTGGAGGTTTTTGTGGGGTTTGGTTTTTTTACGTCCTAACTAGTCACATTTGAGCTTAACAAATAAAAGGTTTTCCAGGAAAGGAGCCATGTACAAAAAAGACAAATGGAAAAATTATTTTACTAGTTTGTTTGTAAAGCTTGTAGTAGAGTCTTTGTGGTAGACTGGACTCTGCCTGCCTGTAAAAAATTTTGTGGTCCAGATTCTCAAGTCCAATATTATAAATGGTGTAAAGTGAAATCTGGAGTCTCTAAAGGTAAGGTCTCTTCATAGAGTAATAGATTCCCTCTGTAATGTGTTCCCTGTATTCAATCCAAAACAGAAGGTGCAAGTTCTAGGAATGTTTGATTCTCTTTTTAGTTTGTATCTTGCAGTGCTTTTAACTGTCTCTTATTTCCAGTCAAGGCAAACTAGTTGTTTACTTTTGTTTTGCTGTCTGTGTGTGTAGGTTAGCATAGAGGGAAGTGCTTATCAGGCATGCCTTAAGTGAGAAAACTTTCCTTTGCTTTGCATTTCCACAGGCTGGTGACAACTGCACCATCCCAGGGCTGTTTTTATGGTACTTGGATTGTCTCTACAGGCTTTCAGTAAATGTCAGGATTTGTTTCCAAACTGTTCCTGTGAATCAGAGGCTCTGGTCAGCAGTAGTAAGCCCTAATTATATTTAGTGTTGTTGAGACTGATATGAAATTGAGCTTGTATCTGAATGTCACTAAGTTTTCACATTCATTTATGGGATGGTGGCAGCTTTTAGGGACTATCTTAAGAAACACAATCCTTCCTATTTCAGAAGAAAAAGCCACTAACAGTAGATTTTGGGTGCCTTTTGGGTTTTAGATGACTGGATTTCATGTGCTTCAGTATTGTGCTATTCCCACACTACTTTGGTGATGTCCATACTTTGAGGCATTCCATATGCAGTTTTGAATTACTGAAGGATTTTCTGAAAAAAACTGTTTTGGAGCGCAATAACTTGTTACTGAAATGTGGAAACACTTATGAAGAGGAGGACAGGAGGGTTTCTCAGGTGCAGTATGTTTGTTTAGTTCATTGGAAAAAATTTACAAGAATACATTCTTCAAAATTGCCATGCTTTATTTAGATTTTGGAATTATCTGGATAATAGAAGTGAATGCATTAAATTAAGGTAATGGTAATGGTAATATAAGTGTTAAGCAATAAGGATGTAATCTCATGGTACACAGCATCAGAGCAACACGTTAACAGCCCATCCGAATTCTCCCTACCAAAACAGAGCGTGGTTCCTGTAGATTTACATAGTGCCTTTTATCCTGAAGGAGTCCAAAGCATTCTGTGAAATCTGAGCAGATCACAGCAGTGAGAGTTGCTGACCAGAGAGTGCCAGCCAGCCCCAGCCCCTTCACCTGCCCAGGCTGGCACAGGCTGGCACAGCCGCCCGGGCAGGACGAGCAGAGCGAGCGCCTCCCGCATCCCGGATCTACCTCAGCTGCTGCCCTCCGGCTCCTCCAGCATCCCCACCCGTGCCAGCAGCGGTGTCCCCGTGCCAGCAGTGTCCCCACCCGTGCCAGCGTCCCCACCCTTCCCCGGAGATCGGAGCGCGGGGCTGCGCTGGCTGCAGGCGGCAGCGCCCATCGGAGCCACGCCAGGGGTTTGCTGTGTGAAATCCTCTGTGAGCAATCGTTTTCTGTAGGAACTGTACATATTGTAAATAAAATAGCCCGGGGTAAACTCTGCTTGGTGTCTCGGCTCTTCATTTTGGAGAGGAGTGGGAGTTACAGCTCTTGGGTCGCTCAGAACTCAGGGAGATTTTGGTTAGATCGAGTAGATGAAGTTTACAAACTTTGGCTAAATTGTGTGTTAGGAATGGCATTAATAATGTAAGGTGTGCTGGCCAGAAGGTGTTGTCCTTACATTGCAAGAGTTCTATTGTCATTATATTGCAAAGGTTCCATATTGCTAGAGTTTCATACCTCCGTGATGTTTCTCATAGGCAGCTCCTCAGAGCATTGACTCTTCCTTGCCCTCACAGCAGCCACTGACTCCAGTACCCCTCAACCAACCAATCCACTCTTTTACAACACTCTTCTTATTGGCTACTGGCCTCTTAAAGTCAGGCCTGCTTCTAATCTTTAATAATTAACCCAGCTGCAACTCTATAGGGGATAAGATTACTTTCTATACTACCTTTATTTACTTATATTCTATCCCTCTACAAGAAGGTAAAGTCTGACTTGTACCTCAGCTTCCACATTTTGAGCCCTTGCTTTTCCTGAAACACTGAGGTGCAGAGTGTCACTGTTTGATGTGAGAGCAGCAAGTGTCATTTATTGTTGGCTGTTAAACCTGCCTGGTCTTTAAGTCAGAAAAAGGGGGAAATGTTCACATGTGATATGTCCTAATCTGGGTCCAGATCTATATTCTATTTAATTTCTGTCCCAGGTGATGTTGAAGTTAGTTGTATACCAAGCACAGCTTTGCTATGGCTGGAAGCCTTCATTTTTTTATTAAATAGTTGTGTAAAACTACTGTACTTGTAAATAGTGGTGTAAAAATGTCCTGTCTACTTCTGTTAAATACCTCTTGCACATCTCAAGTCATATAAATATATAATTTCTTTGCTGTGTGTATATTCATGTGGATTTGGGTTTTGCACCTTTCCTGATTAATGTCACTGACTTGGTGCATTATTTACCACTAATTAACAGCAACACTTGTGGTTTCACAGCCACATTTTAAAATAGAGAAAAATCTTAACATCCTAAAAAAAATGTGTGAATTGGTAAAACCTGTTGTGCTGCCATCTGCGTGCCTTCCATCCTTGAGGGTTTGTGTTCCATGAGGTCACAGCAGGTTGGGTGGCTGAGGGGGACAGTCCCTGACCTTGGTACAGCGGAGGGAAAGCTGGGGCAGCCGCTCTGGGCATGGCTGGGTGTTGGGGGGGCCATGCAGGGTTGGCTCTGGCTTTCATGAAGGCCTGGGAAAATGGGTGTTTAACAGTTTCTACATGTATTTTTTATGGTTTTTCGCATCTTACTGTTTGAAGACGGGTTTCTGTGGTCCCAAGGCTGCAGTGGTGCAGGTGTTGAAGTAAAAATCAGTGCATATGCTCAGCCTAGGTTAACTGAACTGGGATCAGCTCAGCAGGGACAGTTTGTGGTGCAGACTGTGACAGCTGGCTTAGGGTCACAGGGCAGGTGGGCAGTGCTGTTCCTGAGGCTCGTTCCTAATGCTGCCTTCAACCCCAGTGTCCAACAGCCCGGACTCGCCTTTGCTGTGTCACTGTGCCAGCCGCCGGAGGAGCTGCTGGGGACTCTGACCTGCACTCGGACTTGACTCGATGTTCCTGACCCTTTCCCTCTGACCCTTTCCCGGTGTCCCGTCCCTGTCCCGGTGCCCCGCGGGCGGAGCGCGCAGTGCGCCCCGTGCCCAGCAGGGGGCGGTGGCGGGCGGTGCCCCGGGACTGTGGCTGGTCAGGGAGTGACCGGACAGGGACAGAGACAGGGACACTGCACAGGGACAGGGACACTGGTCACACACATGCACAGTTTGGATAAGGATCTCTCTCAGCTCTTTAAGTGCCCGTAGTGCAGCCCCGGTGCCCAGAGCAGAGTTGGGGAGCAGCCCCGGTGCTGTTGCCCCGCATCCCCCCTGCCTTCACATGTGCCAGTGTGAAAGCACTGATGATGTTATAGCATGGAAATGCACGAGTTTCTTCTCTTCCTCTGTTTATTTTTCCAGCCAGCAATAAGCTGCAGCAGCTGCTGCTGCTGTCAGTGTTGAGAAGGGTCTGGGTACCTCCTGGGCATTGTAATTGCAGATATTTGATTGCACAAGGTAAGTGACTGAATTCTGTGTGGAGGTGAAGTCTAATAAGTCCTGTTTTGGGAGATGATGCACTGCAGTGAGAGGGCTGAGAGGTGAAATAAAGGCCTTGTGTTGTGGCGACTTTTTTCAGGCTGTGTTTGCTGATTTTTCTTCTTTGTGTGTTTGCCTTTTGCATTGTAGTTTGTTAATGCAAAGAGGGTGTCCCAGTGACCTGCATCTCTGCTCTGGGTGCAGCAGGGCATGGTAGCAATGCACACAGCAGATTTGCCAGCCTTGTGAACAATAACAGGTTTATTTTCTTACCTTATAAATAACAGAGTAAAGACAGTCTCATAACTCAGTGTTTTGTTAATAAATAATCAGCCACACTATACCACCCACAGCCCTGCAGGGGTGGATCCTGCAGGGAGAAGAGCAGAGAGAAATGAAATCCCAGCCAGTCAGTTCCAGTGCAGAGAAGGTAAAAGTTTCTCTGAAACATCCACGTCCAAACCTTGGGTAGTGCTGGGCTGAGAGGTCCAGAGGAGTCTGTGTCCCAGCTGGGTGGGGGATTTGAGAGGAGCTGAAGAACTCACCAGCTGGAAACTTCACAGCACAGGGCAGCGAATCAAATAGAGCGTAAATTAAATGATAGTGCAAATTAGTCTTGAAGTGTTTTTTGTTTTAGAGCCAGTCCAACCATGTGGTGCTAAACTGGAGTTTACCAGGTGGGTTCACCAGCAAGGGAGCTGCAGAACCTAAGCATAGTCCTGGGAGTTTCCTAGCAGTAGTTTTATGTGCAGAATCTCATGCCATTGGGAAATAGAGGCTTTACAGCATCTGGTTGTACAAAGTTTGTTTCTATAGTCTTTTGTATCTATAAATGTGAAATTGGCAGTATGGGCAGTAATGATCTGCATCCTTGAAGAGCTTGATGAAGAGAGGGACGAAGCAGCATCCGAAGCAGCACCTGGAGCCAAAGGGGAGATGGACATGCACAGAATGATTTCTGCCTTCCCTT